GGAAACAATATTAAAATTATGATGGTATGCTTTAATGTATGAATGTGTTCATGTATGTGTGTACGTATATATAAATAGGCTATATGTGATAACTATGCCAAACACGTCGAACAACTGGCGTCTATTTGTCATCGCTTGTCGCCGTAATTATTGAAAAGTCCATTACACCCGTTTAAATATTTGTATAGCAAGTTATGCAGTCACAACATTGAAACGACCTTACTTATTTTTGGGCGTTTCATTTACTTATTATAAAATCTTGTATGAATAAGAGCTTAATTGTATTATTTATTTATGAGTTTCATGAAAAGGAAGTCTTCCTTATTGTCGAGAAAGGTTAGCCTTAAATCTTTTTTTAAACACATTTTGCTTACATATTTTGTATGATTTATGTTAGACTATGAGAGAAATAGTGTTAATTAGATAAATGCTACTTTCAGATGCCAATTGTCAGCTATCCAGACAATTTAATGTGCGTGCTACTTAAATTATCAATATATATGATCAAAACTGAGTCATTGTCGAGTAACCTATAACTAGACATAAGTATAGTCTAGACAAATCTAGCTACATATTAAAAGTCAAAGCATGCGCTAAATCAGGTATTAGAATCAGCATCTAATGTTAATGTTTTACTAATGAAATCACGTTTCGACGACAATTGTGACAGGTTTTTTTCATACCTCTAATTCAGTTTGTCTATTAAACGTTTACTTCTGTTCCGTTTTGCTGACGTCACAAACAAACAAAATACTCTCTTTCTCTTCCCCACAGGTGCAATTAAATTGCACAACTGTTATGCTTAGCAGGTCAATTTTTGCTAGTGAAATTAAGTCTATTTTGTTGCTGGATGCCACAACAGTACATACTAGAGAAAGAGCGAGAGAGTGTGTGTGAGAGAGAGAGAAAGAGAGCGTTAGACTACATTTATATAATAGCTTTAAAATGGCATAAAACTGACGTAGTTCGATTTTTGCACATAAGTCAAAACAATATGTCAAACTAGAGCAAAAATATATCGTATAATGTATACCACAGCTGAATATTTATGTATTTATATATGCGTGTGTATAATTCTAGTCAAGTGAATATTAACTAAATGTGATAAATCACGAAAAGTGCGACATGCAACACGAATTTTCCGGTCAATGATCAGCTGCCGAAAATGTGTACATGTTCATACTATATATATCGTACTATATACAGCAGATATAATATATGGCATGCAAATTTAGTTCTCAGCACTTTTGATTAACTGAGGCGCAGATGATAATCTTCTATATGATGATATGATGACGTTGTGAAATCTTATTTCGGGTTCACAGACTAAGCCGTAGTCAGCACACGAGTTCAATTAAGACTCGTTGTAGTTGGGACTCACAGATAGCTACAAATGCGTTGTGCAATTTATAAATATCACTGCGAATCGGAAAGTGTTGCGACGTAATATTAAATTTTTATTTTGTATAGCTAAAAACCGCAATTGAATCGCGGCAGTATTGATAAATATTTAAAACTTGTAGACATAAAAATAGTAAGTAAAACCTTTAGAGTAGTTTGCCTAGTTTGTGTATTTTCCCCATGTTGAGAGCTTCAATAGCGTCCATTCGAGATAAAAATAAATAAGCCCGATGCACTCATTAAGTTGGAAAGAAAACCTTTAGAAGATACGATATTCAAATGAAGAATTTATTTGTAGGCTTGCTATTGGGATTTACCCTTTCATTGCTCGAATCAGTTTGACACTAATCGTAAATGGAACACTAGGCTGGTAATTATTTCGATTTGTGTTGGGTGTTTTAATTTACATTTGAAGTATGCCTCAATCTGTCCAATTCGTTGTGTAAAATTTCATTATCATGCTAAAAGTTAATGAGTCGTCATGTCATATCTTGTGCACATGCATAAACAGACGAAACTGACAGCGGTTTGCCTACCTACAGTGGGGCCTGGCAATAGTGACTAATTTCATAAGTTCGTGTTGTGAATAATAATAGCACGCTGATTTTAAAAGCGATAAAACAAAAGCAAGTTCTCCTTTCATTAACATGCGGGCTTTTTATTTGAATAATAAATAAAAATAATAAATATTTGTACTTATAATATATTTTAGAAAGCTTCGACTAATTGGTATAAAATTGGCTGAAACTTGTTATTAGAAACACAAATATCGATTTTCAATAATGATTTCTAAGCGTTATTTAAATCCGATTTGTTGACTTTACGAATTTAGACCAGAAATCTTTATTGCAGCTACATTTATCAGTTTATGGTAACGCCCATAATAAAAGTTTATGGAAATATGACTGCATCTAGTGTAGTAAGAAAATGGGGCTATTTTCAATCTCATTTGCAATTAAAGCATAATATAAAATACCCTGCATAATTGAATTAATTATTTATTGTATTAAAGTGGATAAAATAATATGCAAATAAATACCTAAGATGCTATTTAGTTAGATATTCACTTATTAAACAAATATACCTACATGCAAAGTCAATACCAACAAAATATCCCAGAGAAGAGAATAATTGTATTTAATGGCAGATTAAAAATTAAAAGATAGTTTCAAATTGAATAATATTTTGCTTAAGAAATACAAGACACGTGTCAGACGCATAATTAAGCCAAGTCAACTTGAATAAATGAAAAGAAAATTGATATCAACAAAGAGCAACAACAAGAACTAACGGATATATTAAAAACCACCGTTGAACCGAGTGTTCGGCTTCGGCTTCGGTTTAGCAGCAGTAATTGTCATTACAGTGACTACAGACTGATTTAAAAATAGAACAACACAAACGCCCCACGCCCACCTCATTCTCGTGCATTGTATTTTATATTTCGTTCGTACTCGTGCCTTGTGCCTGTGCCGTGTGCCGATCACTGATCACTTGCTCTTGATCGGCAATAATAACACCGATGTAGTCGTTGTCGTCGTCGTCGCTTCGTTGTCGTTTCGTCGTTAGTGTTCGGCCATTTATTTTATAAAATGAAAACGGTTGAAACAGTTAGAAGTATTCTTGCGTTGACAGGGCGCTGGTTGTGTCAGTCTCGTTGACGGAAAGTGTAACTGCGAGAGCGAGACTTCGTGTGTGTGATACAGTTACAGTTATAGTTACAGTTACAGCTCTCAGCAGATTAATCCTGTCTACCTGAAAATCCTGCATAAAAAATACACGCAAAGTGCGGTTAAGAAAATTTCTTTGTATAAAAATAAATTGTCGTTTTGCTTAATCAGTCCCACTCAGTGTATTAGTTATTGCGTTACTTAGTCGGTCTATTTGTAGTCGCGTATTATTATTATTAAACAAGTGAGAGCGGCTAAGCGTTTAATTAACCAATTATACTAAAAATAGACATAAAAAATATAAATATAAAGTTAATCAAATACATCACAGCTCCTTAGCCCCTTTCCCCAGTAGAACAATGAGCAAGTTAAATGGTCTCAATTTACTAATAATCCTCGGCTTCTGCTGCTTAGCAGCTCTTCCGCAAGTTAGATCAAAAAATCTAAACGAATTTATCTCGGATAGTGATAATGTGATTGTTAAAACCGACGCAAACGATGAAATCTACGATTTTCCCTCATGGTAAGTTTGGAAATCGCTATGGGAAATCGTTAAAATAATATCCTATGTGAATAATTTGAAAATATTCACAAACAATTGATAATATTGTCTGCTTAGTGTTAGTATATAAAAGAAAGCTTTCGCGATCATTACACACTTTTCCAACACAAATTATAAGCTAAAAGACAACAAAACTACGTAAATATGTCATGCGGGTTATATATATATAAAAATTTCTCCAAATGAAGTATACCAATTTTTTATGATACTTTCTCAATTCAGAATAACCCAAAAAAGTGTATATTTTTACCACATCGACTTCCAATAATGTCAGTCTTTAAATGTCATATCTTTTAGCTAAAAGCAGAAAAATATATATTATTTATAAAATATATACAAACGTACAGCCAAACCCAAGTATTAAAAAGTAGTACATATATACATATTCATCGGCGCACTTTTACCCATTCTATCAACTGGTTTCATTGCCCCGTCCAACCGGTCGACCATTATTAAAACCAAAATTATCAACTTTTGTACTCTTAATTTGCAATCAAATTGTACGCTCAGCTAAACAAAATAAGTTCTCTAACTTGCAACAGCAAATGTGATCGAGCCCCATAAACGTGACGCGTTATCATCGTTGGTCGTGCCTTTTTAGAATATTATGCTCCTATGTTTATAATATATTCCGAGAGCTGATCCTATCAAACAGGTGTTCAGTTAGGGTCTTACAAAAGCAGCTCAAAGTTCTGCTATTGCGAAGTAAATATCAACAATTGTTTTGCACTAATTAATGACGTCAAACGATGGTGTTATTAAGTCATTTTGACTTGTATTGCAGAATCAATGTTAAAACAATGAAGAAAGGCCAACTTAGGCAAGCCGAAAATTGTATACCCTTCCAGACCGGAGTCAGTGCAGATATCTAAAATTCATTTAAATTTTAAGCTATTAAGATAATATTGTGATGCTCATCAAGTATATATATATATATTTTGTGAGGTCGGATACGTCTCCTTCTAAGCGTTATAAACATCTCAACAAAATTATAATACCCTCTGCAAAGGGTATATTAAAATAATTCTTGATTGCGATTAGATAATAATACGTAGAAAGTACTTTCATCTATTTGTATTTGTGTCTTAAAATATAGCTTATCAACCGGTTAGAAAAAATAATACAAAAAAAAAAAGTAGAATAAATGAGTACATACTTCAAAATTAAATTGTAAGACAAAAGAAATATAAAAATCCAATAAATTATTAAAACGCAAGTAGAGTGTTGCTTTAGCTGAAAGGTATTCAATTTGATTTCATAAAATCATTTATAGATTTTTTTAATTAAACAAATTTAAAATGTTTATTTGATCAAATAATAAAAATATATATTTAATGATATATCTTGTTGTCTGTGAATATTTACAGCCAAATCTATTGCCATGGACCCCTGCTGCATACTGTTCAAATGGCGAAGCTGTTTCAAGACTCCAAGACCTTTGTGGACATGAAACTAAAGTTCGCGCCTGAGAAAACCATGGAGGATTTCGAGGCGATGATGGAGTCCAAAAATAATAATCCCAGCCAAGATGAAATACGCGAATTTGTTAATGTGGGACATAAAAGAATTTAGCAGCTATATTAATGTTTTACTAATTGATTTTTTGGTTTTAGTCTCACTTTGGAGATAAGGGCACCGAGTTGGATGCGTGGACGCCACCTGATTGGATTGAGCATCCCACTTTTCTGGATCTAATCCGTGATCCCGATCTGAAGCAATGGGGTGTCGATTTGAACAACATCTGGAAGGAGCTAGGGCGTAAAATGAAAGATGATGTGCACAAAAATCCCGAATATTACTCCATCATACCCGTACCCAATCCCGTTATTGTGCCAGGCGGTCGCTTTATTGAGTTTTATTACTGGGACTCGTACTGGATCATTCGTGGTCTGCTCTACAGCGATATGAAGGACACCGCCCGTGGCATGATTGAGAACTTAATGTCCATTGTGAAGAGGATCGGATTTATTCCGAATGGCGGTCGTGTCTACTACGGAGGACGCTCACAGCCACCACTCCTAACGGCAATGGTGAAGTCATATGTCGACTTCACCAAGGATGACATGTTTGCCATTAATGCGCTGGAGACACTCGAGCACGAGTTTGAGTATTTCATGAATAATCACAGCGTCCAGGCAAAGGGACACAATCTAGCCGGGTACCGAGATACCACAACTGGGCCACGGCCCGAATCCTATCGTGAGGATGTGGAGACATCCAGCGGCTTTCTAACACCCGAGGCTAAGGAGAATCACTACAGCGAACTGAAGGCAGCCGCCGAATCGGGCATGGATTTCAGTTCCCGCTGGTTCATCAACGAGGAGGGCACCAATATTGGCAACCTTACACAAATCATGACACGCTCCATTGTCCCCGTCGAACTAAATGCAATTCTGTATCAGAACGCCAAGACGATTGCCGAGTTTCACTCCAAGGCGGGCAACATTGAGAAGATGACCGAGTATGAGACAAAGGCCAAAAAGATTCTAGAGGTAAATATTAAAAATAAAAAAACTATTACTATATTTCCACTTTACTTCTATTTTCATAATCGATTTCAATTTACACATATATTTTATCTACATACTCTATAATTCTACAGGCGATCCAGGCTGTATTGTGGAACGAGGAAGTTGGCTGCTGGCTCGATTATGATTTGATCAACAATAAGCCAAGGAATTATTTTGTGTCCAGCAACCTGTCACCATTGTGGACCAAGGCATATAATATTGCGGATTCAAAGAAAATCTCGGACTCCGTGCTAAATTACGTTGAGCAGAACAAACTGGACACATTCCCAGGCGGCGTGCCAAATACCATCTACCAGACCGGTGAGCAATGGGACTTCCCCAATGTGTGGGCGCCCTTACAGTATATTGTTGTCGAGGGTCTGGATAATCTGGGTACCCCGGAAGCCAAAAATCTCTCCAAGAGCTGGGGTCATCGTTGGGTCAAATCCAACTTTGAGGCATATCGCGAGACGCTGGCAATGTTTGAAAAGGTAAGTGATAAGATTTACTTATAGAGACTCTGCCCTTGCTAAAAGCGCATTATTTGATATATTTTCAGTACGATGCGGAAAAGTTTGGTGGACATGGTGGCGGTGGAGAGTACGGCGTACAGACGGGCTTCGGCTGGAGCAATGGCGTGATAATCGAATGGCTGGCGAAATATGGACGCGAGATCTCGATCAATGGGAAGGACGCTGCAGGTGAAAACGAGAATTAGAGCAGCCCCTAAAAGAAAACAAAACAAATCATACATCACGACAAAGAAAATAAATCAACAACGCTATCGAAATATTTGAATTCATTATATGCACTATAATGTACTTTAGTGTCAAACCGAAGCTCACAGAGAGATGCTCACAAATAGTTGATAATGTGTATTTACTTGTAAGAACCCGAAACCCATTATAAAGCGCGTATCCATCCTATCTACTAAATTTATCCATCAATCGATAGTTTAAGTTACCTGTCGCCCCTATGCTGTCTATAACCACTCTCTGTAACGGCAACAATCAACGATGTCAATTCAACAAGCACGAAAAGAACAAGAAACAAAATTTAATCACCCATCCATCACTGAGCAAGCACCAGGAGAACATGTCCAGTTCAAGATTGACTTCCAGCTACGACAACAACAACAACTACAACAACACACACTTCTCTCAATATATTATTACTATATAACGCTTTTCATCTGTCTTCGACTTTGCCTTTTTTGTCTTCGCCTTTGACTCGTCCCGCATTGCCTCGCATCTACATCTGTATCTGTTTCAAATTGAACGAGTGTTGCATCCTTGCTGACCTCGTCTAATGTCAAAACTTTTACACGTAAGTGTCTTCAATTATTCGTTTGTACTTAAAAATTAGTATTTCCATAAGTTAAGTTTTCACTCATCTGGACAAGTACTTTAACAAAATCATCCCAACAACTTTAACTCTAATTGTTTACTGTTTTGTGATCTCTTTTTTTATTTTTAAATTTGTTTTTCGCTTCTTTTTTTAAGCCGCGTCAAGATTTGAAATATATCGGAGCATTTAAATAAGATACATTAAAAGAAACACTTGACCTGTGGCCGGCAAAAAACATATTTAAAATGTAACCTTAATGTTTTTGTGAATATGCTTGGGGCATTGGTTAATATCATTAACACAATAATACACACAATAACATTATGTGTCTAACATGGTATTTAGTTTGAGGTATTAAGAAATTAGTTTAAAATTATTTTAGCTGTTGAACTTTTCTGATTTCAAGTTAGAAAAGATCGACTATATTTATAACAGCTTATCTTTTACCTTTTACTTAAGCTTGTGTGTTATTAACTTAATTTTGCATTACAGCTCCAAGCAGACAGCTAATCAGCGTGTTGGGCGTGTCGGCGATCGCTTTAGTGGGTGTCGTTGTTGGTCGATTTATTTGGTGAGGTAAGAGTTAAGACTAGCAGCGACTAGCTTTTAAAAATGTCACTTTTGTCTGTGAGCGAAGCAAGTTAAACTGATATTATTGCACATTTTGTCTTTACAGGAAATGAATGACGTTGTGTGCGAACTATAATTGCCCCATAAATGAAAATGTGATTCCCCCCGCCCAATCTTCTCTGTGCTTGTTGTTGTGTTTTGTGGACTAAATACACCAAAACCCTTTTACAGTTTATGTCTTGTTGTTGAATGCGGAGATTGCAGTATTAGATACTTAGTAGTATATACAATATACAGTTGACTTATTGTTAGTTGAAGTGAAGTTGTACATACAGAATTTAGCGGGCATGCCCACATTGTTATTATTATTTTCTAAAATAATACTTTACAAATAGGAGTAAACATGTACACAAATTTATCTATATATATATATATTATCCTCGCAAACCCCATGATGACAAAACCACACAAATTTGATATATGTATATTTTTTGGATGACTATTCACATAAAAGTTGCCAAATTGTTTGCTCTGATTTTTGAAAATAAAACACATATATTTGTTGCATGAAGTCCTGTTTTCTTGTTGTGTGTAATTCGAAATATATAATTACAATTACAATTACAATAATATACTTTTCAACTTTGCAGGCGGAATTGGTTTAAGTAATTCAATGTAATATGAGCAGCACAAGCTTCGCGTGTACATAGTGTTTTTTATTTTTATATTTTGACTGCTAATTCAATAATGGAAAACTTAACTAACAACAAAAAAAAGCTAAGAAGGAGAATATGTTTATAGCTAGAGGACTGAGCTGTGACTGGATATGACTCGGTTCAATGTGGTTCCAAGAAACTACAATGTAGAATTCAAAATTCCACGAAAAGAAACACCAAAAAAAACAAATCGAAGAATTATAGTACACAGTAAATAAACAATAATTATTTGCCAAAAGCAGAAGCGAATTCCCAATTAATTGGTTTGCTGTTGTTGTTGTTGCTGCTGCTGCTGTTGTTGCTGCTGCTGCTGTTGTTGGTGCTGTTGCTGTGGCTGTGGCTCATGACTAAAATAGGGAGCGGTGTTTGGCGTGAGCAATGTGTGACAGATATCACAGACGCGGGCGACACGTTTACGTGGCCCCGATGGCACCGTTTTCGTTAGACATTTATCGCAGTAGATGTGGCCGCAGTGGCGGCAATGGATCTTCCTCACCATCACAGTGAAGCCCGCATTACATGTGGGACAATTGTTTATATCATCGTCGTCCTGCCAGCGCACCTCAGTGTCGGCATGCCGCAGCTCCTCCAGGGTCATCTTAAATACCCAAAATGAAAATACATTAGGCTTAAGACTTAGTTTTTTTAAATTATAATAAATATTTTGTGTAATCTGTTTATACCTGAAGCGTTTGTGATAATTTGACAAAATCTTTTTGCACCGTTTCCATTGTGGACAGCTCCTCCTGAAGCGTCTTTATCTTAGACTTAAAATCTGAATTTATTTTCGACAATTTTTCCTGCATAAACATAATCTTGTTACTGTGAGTCAATTGGTATATAATATGATAGTATTTACGTTGCCTTCCTGTAGTTCTATAATCTCAACACGACACTCGGATAGCTGTTTGTTAAGCTCAGCCTCCTTGCGCTCCAATAATGTTTTAGCTGACTCATGCGATTGCACGGCAACCAGATGCTCCGTGACGCGATCCCTGTGGAGAGGAGTAATTATATGTATTTACGTCTGATTGTGGGTTAGGCTAATCTAAGACTTACTGCAGCGACTTAATATCTAATTGCACTTTGCGCTTGTAGGCGCGTCTCTCACTGTTGCTCTCATCCAGCTGAGCGCGCAATATTTGAATCTCATCCAAAGAAGTCACACACTTTTGTTTCTCGTACTCGCTGCTCACACGGGCCTGGATTAATTCGCTCTGCTGTCGCAGCATTAGTTCCTGTAGCTCCACAACCGTATTGGGTAGATTGATGTATTGATTCTCAATCTCTTCGGAGGTGGCGAGAAAGCGACCCGATAGAAAATCATTGTCCGCCTGTAGCGTCTCCAGCTGCTGATTGACTCGCTCACGGTCATCGGTGACACGTTGCAATTGACGCAGGACATCCTCCTTGGTCTCGAGAAACTTTTGTTGCATATTTAGAAGTTGTTGTTCGTTGTTTTTGTATTGCTCGCGCAGGTTTTGTACTTCGCTCTTGTGTGCCTCACGCTTCGCTTGCCACTGACTCTCCAAATCATTTCGCAACGCTGCCTCCTTGCTCAATTGTTCGCGGGATTCAACAAGTTGCTTCTGAACCGCATCCAACTGCTTCTGCTGTTGTTTCACTTGTGCACTCAGCTCATCCGTGAGCTGTTCGCTCGCCTTGCAGGCACTACAATTATTGGCAGCTAGTAAATCTGTTGACGTTGACTTGTGCATAGCATCATTCCTATTTGATCCCGGCGCCTCCTCGCTCACTATCTTAAGCGATTTGGCCTGCAGCTGTTCGTCCTGTTGGCGCAATTTCTCCTTTAGCGCTTTCATTTCTTCCTGCAGTTGCTCAACGATTGAGCTCAGCATGTCGTCATCTTCTGTGGCCTGCACATGTAAGTATTATTAAGGATTTGCATTGAAATTCATGTTTATCTACTTACAAATTGCTTGCTGTTGTTCTTGTTTGCACCACGCGCATTGCTGCCCTCGGCAGCCTCCTGTTGCATACTGTTGTTAAGGGAATCACTGCCCAGTTTCCGTACGGATACCAGAGTTTTCTTCACCTGATTCATTACATGTGGCGCCAGGCCGCCATATTGCTCGGGGGCCTGGGGAGCCGTGTGCTGCAATTGCTGTTGCGGCTGTTGTAGTTGTTGTTGTTGTTGGCGCAACTGATCCACTTTGATGCGCTCCAATTCATCCTTGTATATCGTCGATTCTTCGATTGTGTCCTGCACCAGCTGCTGCAGTGATGATATTTCCTCTTGTGCCTTCATATCCTTCATCTGCAGTTCGTTTTGCGCCTTGAGGTCAGCCACCATAAGGTGTGTTCTTAACTCATCCATTTCGTCCTGCAGCATCTTGCGCTCCGACTCCTTCTGCATGTAGAGCTCTTTCATTTTTGCTCGCTGCGTATTAAACTCGTTTTGCATTTTGCGCATCTCCGCTTGGAGTAGCTCCAATTTATGCTGGTATGTCGCGTCACCATCCCCTGATGAGTGAAATCACATTGCTTTGAGTTGGGTGTTAATTATTAAACATCCAACTTACCGTTTGCGACATTATTTGTGGCTTCTGAAGTGCTCTCATTTTCTTCCATTTTGCATTAATTAATGCAAGGCAATAACAATGTTTAGTTTACACCAGGGATGCAACTCCTTCCACTTGGCGATGAGCAATAAGCAAAGAACAAACGCCCAATACTTGCACTCACGATTGTTGTCACGACGCGTAGCGATGTATAAGCAACGATTATAATATGAATTAATTTTCGAGTGCAAAGAGGATTTAAATAATCACTATTATGATGTAGTAATAATCTTAATTCGAAGGGTACAGTTCCTATCCGTTGTATGACGTGCTATAAAAAAAAATATGGTGCGGGCATCGACACAATTCAAATACACAGCAAAAATATCGATTTGCCATTAATAATATCGATATTCTTAAATGCATATCGATGTAAGTAACAGGTATGTAGCTCACCTCTAATGCACATGTGTTTTGGAACGCAATTGCTACGAAAATCGCGTTCGAGTTTTGAAGGAAAACAACAACAGCAGGAGCATAAAAATGGTAAGATGTGCATCGCAAATAAAAGCTAGGTATTCATTGAGTATATTTCAATTGTAGGGAAAAGGAAAAAAACCATATATTGACCGCAAAAAAGCTGTCACCTTTCACTTGGTGCATCGCAGTCAGCACGATCCGCTGGTGACAGATGAAACTGCTCCACAGCGGGTGCTCCTGGAGGCGAGTGCCAGGCAGCCGCAAGCAAAGCCGGCTGCAACACCAACAGATCCAGCCAAACGTCAGGAGGAGCTGAAGAAGTTTGGCATTCACTTCGATGACGACTACGACTACATGCAGCATCTAAAAAAGCGTGAGAACGATGTCGTCTGGGAGTATATGGAGAATCCCAACCAGGCAAAGAAAGCAAACGCAGAGGAATCGAAACAGCATAATCTGCTCATGCTGCCTAGCTCCGTATTTGCCAGCGAGTTCGAAGAGTCCGAAGGCATGCTGAACAAAGCGGCTCCTCAGCCCGGTCCACGTCCCGATTGGGATCCAGATGTTGTGGCAGGTCTCGATAGCGACTTCGAGGATAACGAGGATCTGGATGACGATTTCGTAATGCAAGCAATGGGCAGCGATGATGATGACGACGAGGACGAAGATGAGGATGAGGAGAACGAAGGAGATGATGATATGGACTTTGATTCGGATGATTTGAATGAAGATGAGAACGAAGATGAACTTATGGATCGTCTTGGGCCGCTGATGCGTAAGAGTCGTTTCGACGACGAGGAAACCAAATCGCGCTTCACGGAATACTCAATGTCATCGAGTGTGATCCGTAGAAACGAACAGCTCTCCCTGCTCGATGATCGTTTTGAGCAATTCTATGCCAGCTACGATGATCCCGAGCTGGGGGATCTTGCCCTAGAGGATATCGAAGGACACTGGCATCAGAAGCATCCCGTTGTAATGCAATGTTTCCAGGAGTTCAAAAAGAAAAATGACGACATTAGCTACAACAAGGAATGGGACCGCGAACGCGTCAAAAAGTACTGTGATGTCGTCGATGGTGAACAGGATCCGACGGAGGAGCTCGTCGACTACGAGGTGAACGACGAGAAAGATAAGAAATGGGACTGCGAATCCATACTCTCGACCTATTCAAACATTTACAACCATCCCAAGCTGATCGATGAGAAGCCTCGTCCACGTCGAGTCCAAATCGATCCCAAAACGGGTCTTCCCACGAATGTGCTCCGCAATGGCGTCGATGGACAGCTGACGGCCAAAGCGTTAGCCAACCTGGACGACAATACGGCAAACGCAACGGGTCCCAAATCGCTGTGTGCCAAATCTGTGGTATCCACGCTCAGTGTTCTCTCCCTACGCCCCAAGGATGAAACTCCAGAGGAGAAACGCGAACGCAAACGTCTGCTTAAGGATTATCGCAGCGAGCGTCGCATTGAAAAGAAGGCAAATTCGGAGGCTTTCAAGGAAGAGAAGAAGCGACAGACACATGTTAAAATCAATCAGCGTACCAACCAGCAGGGCTCGACTATTGTTTAGGGCCTTTTTGCGGGGGCAACGTTTAGTTTTAGGATGTGTTCATAGTTGTGAAAACTCTAGCTGTAAATCATGTAAATACGCAATATGTATGCGTGAGCACAAATATACATATTTAACACAAATTTAAAATCTTTTCTTACCTACTTTGCTGTTAACATAGTATCACATTGTTTAGCCTCAGCAAGGACATTGGATTACAGCATATAAAGTATATAACAAACAAAAAACAAAACACTTTCCATTTGTAATTGTGTATAAGATTGTATAATTGTATTCATTGACAATAAACACTTCTTAAAGTAGTGGCCAATAGTTAGACTAGGGAATAACCTTATACAGTAAAGTCGTTCACGCCTTAGAAACCAACCAATCGTAACTCGATTTATTATATGTACTTTCGCAAAGATTACATAAACTTGCTTTGCAAACTTTGAGAACTTTGAGATCGGCGCGTTCAGACAGACAGATCGCGTCGACTCTTGATGCAAATCAAGAATATATATAAAAATTCTTTAGACCCCCTTTCTTGTGCCTCTTACGACTGCACATACAATTTAACATTCAAAATCAGTCTACATTTGTAAGCAGGAAGTTCGAATGCATAATATTTACACTATAGCACACATATACGCATGTGTCAACGCACTCATTATATCATATTAGAGTCATGAAACCACCATTTAGACTTTCCCACGAGACATGAGTAAATGTAGCCATAATTTTCCAGCTCGCTAGTTAGTCCTATACTAATTGGATGTGGTCGGCGCTGGAAAGTCCAACTACTATCCAACTAACTTGCTTACTGTTACTTAATGTCTGTTATTATTATTATTATTACATTTTAAGAGTGTAGACGCCATATGTTGTTGCTCGAGGGTTTTGACGTAGTATTTGTGTGTCTTTTGCCGTCGCACTTGTTTAGTTTTTGGCCATTTTGTGGCAATTTCCACGTCGAATTGCATAGATTTGGTTCGAAAGCCCTACAACACCAGTCATTTAGTCAATCAATCAGGCAAATTGTGTACGTGTGTTTCATGTCTAAATGGTTTTGCATAGGTATTTGTCTACAGGTATTTAGCAAATGCACAAATACTATAAGGCTAACCATATTTGACATGTTGTTGACCTTCAACGAGACCTTTTTATTGAAGTTGTGGGTTTTTTTCATGAATATGCAGCTAATATTTAGTATACGCTTTAAATATAAGCGTGAATTTATATTCATAGACCTGAATAGAAATGAATACTGATTGAATGAAGCAGACAGAGTAAGGAAAGTCTAAAAGTCATAAAATTGCAAATTGAAGTACATCAATGTATACTAAAAATACCATACTATAGTTGATAACACTCAAGAAATCCCTCGAAAATGATTATTAAAATAAATAATTATGACAAAATGCGTGCCTGAAAAATATAGCTAGCTAATTATTTACCCAAAGTGTACATATAATTTAGCATATATTAATATTGAATACTATATACAGTAATTACTGTCGCCGTTGGTTCTATTACCAGTTAGAGCTAACGTACTATTCCGAATGATTAAAAATCCACATGGCCAAAACATTTGCATGGCGCCTAACGGAACCTAACACCAATTTGGAACCAAGCTCCAGCTCGCACGCTTTCCCCAGCACGCTTACTCACACAGAACTCCTTGTAAATGGAAGCCGTCACAGTTGTTGTGCACAATCCCCTTTCCCCTGCCCGCCTTCCCTTGCCATGGATCAAACGGGCGGGCAGCGTCAGCGCCGGCGTCGCTTTTGTTGTTGGGACCGCCGTTTGCTTATATATGTACTTTTTTTTATTATTAAAGTGGCAAGACAGCAGAAGGCAAAGAAATTCGCGCATTTTCAGTTCCGTTCAGTTCCTGAGCGAAGCCGAAAGGATTCGAACGCGCGCGTCGGCCATCAGCGCGGTAATTCTCGCTATATTATTCTACCATTGGCCAGCTAAATATATATATATACATATATTTACATATTTATTTATATATATAAATATGTATACAAAATTGTTATGAGCTCTCTCGTGTTAACACAATTTGCACTTGAGTGGTTTGGTGAATGCGGTTCGGTTTCGGTTATTATTCAAAACACAAAAATCAAATGTCGTAACAATAAATCAAACAAACAAATAATATAGGCTAATTATGGGGGCATCATTGATTAATCCAAATATATATTCTTGTATTTGTGATTGAAAATGTTTTGTGCAACGGAAAAATATCGCTCGCGGAAAAGTAACAACTTGTAAAATGAAAAGAAAGCCGCCGCAATTGAAATGCTTCAAAACTAACTTCTAAAACCAAATTAAAATTAATTAAATTGCAAAGAAAAAATAAAATAAAAATGGTGCAGTCATTTGATTGCTTCATTTAAAATAAATTTATATTAATCTAAGCGAATAATTTAGTTACTTACGATATGATATTAAAACTAACAGCAGGCATAATGAATACAAATGGATTTTCAGATTTAATTAGTGAACATAAAACTACAAAAACAAACCCCAACATATACAACACAAGCGATTTAATGGCTTCAAACAAAACACGAAAATTTTTAATAATTAAAAGTGTAATGAACGCATTGCAAAAATGAAGAAAAAACGCATATCTTGATTTAAGTTGACCTGTGTATATACAACATATACACGCTTCAGATCTACATCTAAAATGTGTGTGACAGTCGCAAATGATTCTACTTGGGCTTAGCCGGATATACTTCATCTTGCGGTCGGTCCACTCATTGAAGTGGAATTTTTAATTTTGAACGGCGAGAAATGTCAGTTCCATTTCTATTCCCATTGTCAGTGCCAATGTCAATGTCACTATCAGTTCCTATATACTATGGAATACCTACATTCTGGCTGCATCATAAGTAGTTTGCTGAATGTGTCAACAATTGTGATAGATATGGGTGATTGTTTATAATGCCAATTGAAGTCAATTGAATGGAAAACTTTTCTCAATACATCATTATGACACTTGGGTATTTGATCTGATTGGATTTTTGGCCTATAATGATATAAGACAAAAAAGGAATCAGAAATTGAAGAATATTATTTTACCAATATCAATCTACAATTAGTATTAGTAACAGTTTTATATAAATATTTCTGAAATAAAGAAACTAATATAAATTAACAGAATATATATTAATAATTAACGTAGTCCTGCTTTCGAACTCAATCAGAATTGTTAATATTCCTAATCTTATCGTTTTGCAATATGTGAATCCTTATTCAGTTACAAATAAATATGATCATTTTGCAGTTTACAATCCATTCGATATAATTATAACTATATTATGCCAAAGCATCATATATGAGTGTAACTATCTAATCAAAGCATCAGATATGATTAAGAACACATATATAACTATATAATCATATATATTGCTTTGTAACTTTTGATTTATTTCTGATGCTTTGGAAAGTTCGCACGATGAATTGCCCTTATATAGGAACTATAAGAACGGCTTAATCTAAATAGTGTTGTGTCATTGTGGTTCACATTATAGCTGCATAGGTATGTTCCTCCATTATATAAGTCGTATGGCGTATGTCGTGTGTGCATGTGTGTAAGTAGCTTACTTTTGCGTACTGTCCAAATTGTAACGATAATATTTAAAGCGCGCGCTTCTTAAGTGAAATCGGCACGCGATTCAATTGTCTTACATTGACCGAAGGCGCGAAGTGTGCCGCAATTACACTCACATATATATATATATATACATATATATATGCATATATAAACATATGTATGTATTTCTGTATACGTATGTATAACTTGACCGCTTGGAAAGCAAAGCTTGCACATCTCAGTGGCTATCATTTTACTCGTAGTACAATCTACAACAACCAGAACCACAACAACAACGCCTGCCTCCCACACAGTTGGCCAGATAATCGCGACAATCCGAGAACATATACGAACCTATATATCCGACAGCAGAAATCATGAGATAAGTGCCTTACACAGACTCGGCGACTGACAAACATATTTATTTACATGCACTTAGGGAAAATTATCAACTAGAAATCAATAGCTGATGCTTGAGATATTGCTTATAGCCATTGAATCCATTGAAAATGGGTTAAAAGTGCATAAGGAAGTATGTAAGAAATATATATTCATAATCAACATAAACAGTCGAGTCGATTTCCTAATATCGATAAGAATCGATTCTCGATATCATTAAAAGTCACAATTTTAAAAATATATCTTTATAAACGAGTATTTGTATACCCGAATTTATAATATTTACCAAACTACACGCACAGACATACATGCATATCTACGAGTTATGACAGGAAAGGAGTTCGGTTCTGGGTATCTCTTAGTTTCTACTTTCTTTCGAAAATTATCTAACATATCTTAAATTATTCCTGATTAAGCTACTTAATAAAAAGCAGAAATACTATTTATTTTCCAATTTTAATAAATATTTAGTGCTTTATCAAATTATTTGTGAATAAAACCAAAATTGTTCTTCTGGTCTAAGACAGTGCGCATATATTTTTTGTGAGTGTATCTACAGACAGTGGCATATGCATGTAGATGTGCATACCCTACTCGTATTTAACTTTGTATTTACATATGGACATATGTTCTAATGTCGTAGTAGTAGCAGTTGCTGCCGAGACTGGTTGGCGGTTTATTTATTCGATATTTGGAAGTAAGCTGAGCTAGTGCACCGAGTCAAAGTGGATCCAGCTAGCCAGCTGTGCACACACATCATTAATTATATTGTTGTTGTTGTTGTTGCAAACACACACACACACACACACACACACACACACACACACACACACACACACACAAAGATATATCGCGAACTTATCCTAATCGCATTAAATAATTTGATAAACTTCTAGTGCTCGTCCATCTATCTAACTAATGCATTATACACACGGAGTGTAGCATACTTAAGACGTGTATGAATTTGAATTTTGAGTTTAATATCGGTATCGGTATCGTGTTGCAGATTTCATAAAGCGAACTATGAAATTCCCACGTCGATGTAAAGTGAGATGATTTGAGCTTTGGTTTCATTTTCTGTTTCGTCGTCAACATCATGCTGGGCAAATACAACATAAAAGTATTCATATCGCTTGGATTGCCTTTCTTATTGATGTGGTGAGTTCATTTTACATTTTGTCCATTATCTACTATTCCCCTAAATCATTTTTTTTATAAATAAGTTGGCCATAATTTTGGGAAAAAAAAATGAACCGATTTTCAATTCCAACAATTGTTTTTAAAAATGATTTTTATCCATTGTTTTTCTTCAAAATATGTAATTTGTGTTTCATAGATTGTAAATGTTCTTCATAGTATAGAAAATTACTTGAGAAAATGTTTCTGACTGCGGCCGGTGTAATTCCAGCTGATAAAAGGTGGCCAAAATCCTTTTTGCAGGATGAGGGTGGGTCAGCTTTGATCGGCCATGCCTCGACAATTGATTAATTAAAACCAATATGCTCTTCTACCTTCGACATCAGAGTATAATGACAATAAAATTCGACATATAAAGTATATTATTTTGGCAAATGTTTCCCATGCTGTATTACAATCAATGAAAACACGACTCATTCATTTATACATACGTCATAGATTGACAATTGCATATGCAGCATTTTGTTGCCACTTTATCCAATAAGAACCCTAACACGGTATTTCCGAGAATTGGCAAGTCATTTGACAAAGCCAACCAAGGTCAATCGAATCACAGCAAATGTGGTTGCAGCACGAATATTAGTCAACTTTAAGCTATAGCTATGGCCATAGCTACTATTGTCAGGTGAAACACAGAAAATATTTATATATACACAGCCAGACTGCCCCAGACACGAAGTCAGTTAATTTCCCGTTCAGACTTAAATTGACAAAGTTTACAATAGTTGCATGTTGCCCCTGAGAGCCAACAAACAAAACTGGGCCTCAACTCCATGCCCAAAAAAAGAGGCAGTGCATATGCACAGACATGCATGTACTGTGTATATATGTGTGCACATATAGATATAGATATATGCATCTATAGATTGCTCGAGTATTTGCTTTATATCCGTTTTTGTATTTTTTTGGCCACTTTCAGGATTAGTGAGGCCACGGACGCCCACATGAACTACAACTATACAGCGAAGCCGCGAGTGGTTCTTCCGCCTAATTATGTCAAGGGTAAGTTTTATTTCTCTTCTCTCTTCTTCTCTCTGCACCCGGCTCCTACTTTAAAATTCAGTTTTTGCTGGGTTTTGTATGATATTGCGAATTTAACAAATGGTGACTCAGTCATATAAAATTATAGCCTCTTCCACGGTTTGTTTTTTTTTTATTGCACGGATTTTTATTTACCCTATTATGGGGTATCATAACTACGTCAAATGATGAGTAGACATTCTAGTTAATAGGAATGGCTCCACTTACAGAAATTTCAGACGGAAAATCTGTTTTTCCACATCTTGTTGAAACTTGCTAAGGGGGTTTTTTTTGTAGCTGGAGTTGACATAAGAATATTGATTTAGATATGATTTTTATATTGAATTTTTATACATCTGTAAATTAATAATTAAATTTCAGTTTTAGTAGTTTAGTTTTAAGCTTAGTAATTTATCAAGACTCAGGGTATTTAATCTTCAGTGTCTGTGGTCTCTTAAAGACTGGCTTTTTTCAATTGCTGAAACATTGCGTGTGGCGTTTATCGTGACACAGCCAATTTCAGGGACTTTCGCCTGCAGAGCCCCATTTTTTGTCTTCCAACCTAACGGTATACTTCTTAACTTCTATAATTACCACTTATGTACATACATACATATGTATGTCAATGCACATAACGTATATATTGTGTGTATACAGGTTCTTGACGTCAGCAAAGGGAAAAAGTGCATTAGTCGAGAATGACAGACTTGATAATGCCCTATAGAAAGCCCGAACACAACATTATTTAGAACCATCGAGATTATTTCCTTATGCCCAGGAATTTTATTATTAAAATGTATTTGTATCTTAAGATGTTCCTTTGTTCGAGTAAGGTAGCTATAACACAATTATCTTCGATTAGTTTTCTCCGTTGCTTCTCTTACGGATTGCCAACTATAGTTTAATTTCATTCTTTCTTCCGATTTAATTTCATTGCTTTCTCCTCACATTTTAATTTTCTTCTTTCACTTTTAACACACTGCAAAACATAAATATTTTTTTAATAATAATAATAAACATCTATGTGTAACACATCTTTGTTTATTTTCCTTTTAAGTCGATTTTTTAATATTAATATAAAGTTTGTTTTCGCAACAGCACCAAATAAATAGGCAAGCATTTTTTTCGTTTTTGCCTTCCGCGTTTTCAAATCAATTCAAGTTTAACGGTTGACTACTATTTAAATTAAAATAATTTTCAGATGTTCAAGATCTTCGTATAGAACCACTTTCATTCATCTACCACTACTGTTAAGCATTATAAGCTAGACTCGTGATTTGGATGAAAATACATTTATTCATGAACACAAGATTATTTATTAAGTTTTAACCTGCACCCATAACACCTCAATATCGATTTTCACTGTTGTGAAATCGACGGCTAACGATGTCCATGAACTTGAGTTCCCGAAATTGTTTGACTGGAACACATTTACCTCTATATGTACTATAAAAATAGTATACTCTACGAACACGTCAGGGAAATAGCTCACGATATATTTTACATATTATAAAAATGAGTTTGCATGGGAAAACAGTTAGCACCTCTTTAATGCGAGGGGTACAATAAAAATAAAAATGGAATAACTTAGCAAGAATGTGTATAGTTTTACAATAAAATATTTGATTTACTTAATGGTCGGTGATTTTTGTTTTTCAGAAATGCGACCGCCCTCAAAGAAGGGTTCACCAGTGATAGTAGACTTTAGCATTTTTGTTGTAGATATTAACTCAATTAATGTAGAGGATATGGACTTTAGGTAAGTGATTGAAGTACCCCGCCGCCCCTTCCGATGTCATAATGGGAATAATCATAATGTTAGCCAGTCATTACATATGCATTTTCAGAGTAGACATGTTTATACACCAACGATGGATGGAATCGCGACTGGAGATCTCGGATGATATATTCGAGGAGGGTGACGATTATGTTACCCTACTTCCCGAATTCTTCGACAACCTCTGGCAGCCGGATCCCTATTTTTTAAATTCAAAGATTGCCGGTAAGTATTCTAAGGTCTCTAACAGATATGCATGTTCGCAAAAGAGCGTATTTTTCAATAAGTAGGGTACTTGTGTTTTGTAGGACCTTTCACGAACTCACAAAAAAAAACAAAACAAATCAAAATATATGTATATATATAATTTCTCTGACAATTTGAGATCACTCTGGTAGGTCTCTTTAATGCACTCGAAATAGTATCTGAACTATTATCTACGCCTTTGATTTGGTGTATAATAATATTGTTTTTTTTTTTACTTTTAATTTTCATTGCTTTTAACATTTCCAAATACAAAAACTAAAAATACTAACAACAACGCAAACTTCTACTAGGATTTGGAAGTCCATATGTTTCCTCGGTTTCCCTACTACGCAATAAGGATGAAAGAGAATCGAAAAACTTTCATCTAAACAAAACTTTAAGTATACATAATACCAAATCTAGAAAATGTGTTTTTGTGTTGACAATTTTGTGGTGTCAAATCAAATCTCAAAATATAAAAAATTCACAAAAATCTCATGCTATAAATAAGCTGTCTTCGGCAAGCCGAACACTAAAATACCCTTGCAGACTTCAATATGTTATATGTCAACATTCATGAGCATCATCAATGTTAAATCTCACACCAACATAATTCAGATAACTCGAATTAAACAAGTTTGTTATATAATATTTCATTAACTTATCATTTCCATTGTGGTATTTTATGTCCTGTGAAAAACCCATCCAGGCAGATCCTATATTATTATAGATACTGTTCTTAATCCGTGTCTATGTGTTATATAATTTTAAAAAAATGTACTTATCTTGTTTTGTGAATCTTTCAATGCAGCCAACTAAAAAAAAATTAAATTTGTATTGTCCATATATATTATTTTCAACACAGTCAACACTGGCTATACTCTAATTAGCTGGCCTTGCGTGCAGATGATAAATCACCCACATAAAATTGGTATTCGGAAATGGGTTGTGATTCCACACACACACACACACACACACACACACATTTAACAAAAGAGAACGATTGTTGGCTGGCTATTATATCGCACGCTGACCAAATCCCATTTCAATGCCAGGGTCAACTTGAACCTGGCAAAACACCCACATCATGGTAAAGCTAAATTGCAGTTACCATTGGTGAACATTTGCAGTTGCTTTGGGTGCGATAAGATCTGGAAAAGGTCAGCTAGACCAAAAATCGATATGTACATTCAAAAAATTCCTAAAATTTAAAAGAAACTTCACCTAAATTTAGTTGTTTTTTTAGGCTTTTCTTATTTGTTGTGGTTTAGTCTAAATTTAGGATAATAATACTAATAGTATCACGATATTGTCATATTATTGGTTATTTGTTTGGTTTTGTAATCAACCCTTTGCTCCTTGTTGCTATTCAGTTTATTAAGTGGTATTTTTTTATTGATTTGTTTGTTGTGATTATTTATTCACTAGTTTTGTTAGCTTCCTCAGCTGTGCTTTTGCTCTATACATCATATCTATATATATTTCCTTCACTATTAATACAATTTTATATAGTTTTGAATTTGTCGTTAAGTTGGCTGCATCTGAATAATTAGAATAATGAACTCAATCGCTAAATACTAATCGAATACTCAGGATGCATTTGGATAACACTCATAGTACCTTCTATTACAGCAATTCTTCAGATCGAATAAAGCACTCGACATCTCGAAGTGAACACAATTTTCGTATTCTTAATAATAAAAAATCAACAAAAAAAACTACTACAACAATTTGAAATGCAGCTCATTTCCGGCACATGATGCATTCTGAAAAACACTCGAAATACGCATCCGAGTTCATTTTGCTTGTAGTCGTACTGTACTTCCAAGAAGCACACGCAAATATTATATATATGTATACCCGTACACTCGCATAACCCCTCCATTTCAGTAGCCGCAAATATCCGACAAAAAAAAACTGAGTGCCAATTCTATAGTTCTAATCGAAACTACTTTATTCCGCATCTCTGCAACGTCTTTTCGATGTCTCTCTTGTCATTATAGAAATAGCTACCCTGACGCACAAGTTCACATCTGTAACGCTCTATAAGAATAAAACCGTACGCTATGCGGCCCGCATGCATGCAATAATTGCCTGCCAGATGGAGTTCCAACTATATCCCATGGACATACAAGTCTGTCCTATTTACATTGAGAGTTGTGAGTCACTTAATGAAATACTAAAATTCTTCATCATTAAGATATATTTTCCATTTTCCATTTCAAGTTTCGTCCAATAATCAGAAGGTAAAGCTGCGCTGGTCCGATTCTGGTGTAACGCTCAATCCGGAACTGAAACTGCTGCAGTATAATCTCGGACAGCCACTGGAGCTGGAGGAGAGTGATGGCTATATGCCCGAGAAAGTGGGCAATTTCTCACGTTTAACCGTCTACTTTCGTTTCGAGCGACAAATCGGACATCATCTAATACAGACCTTTGCACCCTCCTCCCTGGTCGTAATGCTGTCCTGGTTCAGTTTCTGGCTTGGCCTAGATGCGATACCAGGACGCGTTACACTACTAGTCACCTGCATGCTAACGCTTGTGACTATGTTCACGGGGCTACGGGCGGATATACCACCCGTTGCGTATGTAAAGGCAATTATCTAATCTCCACCTATAAATTCAATATGGTAACTAACAGTATATTTATATATATATATATATATATCGGTTATTTAGGCTCTCGACCTATGGATGGCCGGTTGCATGGTGTCTGTATTCGCTGCCTTGGCCGAATTTGTTGTCGTCAAAGTATTGGACGTGCAGTACCAGTACCAAGTGAATCGCATACCAAAGGTACTGCCCATGGTAAGCACCCAGTTCGGTTATAAATAATATACCCACACACACATTTTCTATATCATTCGATGTGCAGCGCATTAGCAATATGGAAAAGGGTCAATGTGCAACGGTCGCCAGCTGGGAAAGTGGTGCGGTACGGTCTCGGAAGGCCACACAAACGCCAACCACGCCCGGGCAGGTAAGTTGTGCATTTTAAACGGGCCTCAATTTGTCCCTAAACACCTAATTTATTGAATCGAAGCTGATTGACGAGCTGGCGTAGCATTTACCATATGTGTATGCATTCTCAAAAAATCCCTGTCAAAATGTAAGAATGCGCTAGAGAGAATTATAAATAAGTAGTAAAACTGCTGATTTATTTAGGATGATAAATTATATTATTTAGAGGTGCTTACACATTTTGATGTAAATCTAAATCATTCATGACTTGCATTCGTAAAACAATTGATTTATTTAGTACGATATATTGTATTATTTAGAGGTGCTCAAAAAATCGCTAAGGTGACAGGTTAGTTGAAATAGGTTCAAGAAGTTCTCATAACTTGTACAAAATATTCCTTAAAATAAGTCAGTATTTTAAATTAATATCAATCGTACTTAACTTATCCATATTCCGACCCCAAAAATACGTTGATGAAATAAGAATTTTTATCGTACTCAAGTCGCATGTAGAACACAACCAATGTTATTTAGTGTACATATATATTTCATTAAGTTCAGTGCAGCTTGTAAATTGCTGTTACCCTTCTTTACTTTATGCTACAGACCTCGCTGCAGGGCAACGGAGGACCCCCAAAGCCTGCCCGTCGCCAAAGCCTGCTGTCCGTTGCATGGACGGACACGGATACGGGCGTTGAGAAGATCATGTGGCGTGAGATTGATAAAGTTTCACGGGCCGTGTTTCCGATCTTGTTCTTTGTGTTTGTACTGTTGTATTGGCCCATATTGCTGATGAAGTCGTCCTAGGATTTGGGGAGCTCCAGGATACACATTTCTGGACTCCGTTAAAAATCTCAGAAGCAAAAAAAATAAATAAAATGGAATTCAAACTCACAACGAAACTGAAATTCAATTCACAACACACCACACGGTTTTACACTAAAATATGGAGCATATTCAACTATCTAATTAATCTATTGCTTTAAGCATATCACTAAAACACATAATACGGCATCTTCTACAGTTACCTTAATTAATGAACAAAAGTCACAAAGTTTAGCTACAAAATTGAGACTTGCTCATCTAAATACTTACCATTCTATTTATGTTTAATTTTTATACTCATACAACTTGTATTTGTTCTGTTCTTATGATCTTGAGTACCTCACAACATCAAAAGATACAGATGGATAAAAACGTTTAAAAATTAACTGCACGACTCAATGAAAGAATTGATTAAAAAAATCTGATTTTTATATAATTCATGTTTATATACATTGTGCACAAAGCTGAATTAAATAATTATATTTATTTGTTAGTTAATGAAAGCACTATTTGCTAAGAACCCTATCCCAAAAGATATTGTTATTGCCTTTGCTATTTTATTTACAATTACAATTAACAACAACAAGCTCTTTTTTTATAGGCTTAAGCAAAACCGCCATACAAATTAATTGGTGCTTTAAAATGATAATACAATTTACAAAAAAACATAAGGAAAAGAAAAAAACCCTCAAAGGATCAAAAGATACATATATATATAAATACATATTTGAAATGTAAATAAGTAGAAAAAAGTGCTATTTAGGAATTTTTACACACACCAAATAATGAGACAAATAATCTATTTAGCGATTTAATAAACGATGCGAACTTTAGAGCTGTGGCTTTATATATATTTATATTTTATACATTTACCAAGTAGTTCAAATATCGCACACTTAACAAAAATGCTAGAAATACGTATATTTTATAAGTAAAATAAAAAAAAAAATGATGAGATGATTATATTTTGTATAACAAGACATGCTGTAAATATTAAATAATACATAATTAAGTATATTACATCTAGAAAATTGATTTACTGTAGACAACCAACAAATACATATATGTGTACATAAATTTCCATCGGTTAAGTTCTATATATTTCACAGGTATTTTTTTTTTACAAGGAATCGAACCCAATTACTAATTGCTCTACAAAACTTTATCCACAAAGCTTTTTCAAACTACCTAAAATCAAAACAGTACACAATAACGCATGTAAAAAACTGAAGTAAATAAAAACCAATTGATTTTAACCCAAAAAACAATCGACTAATGCAACAGTTTAATTAATAATTATATTTAATGGGTGTAATCGTAGTGTCTAGGATCATAACAAAACTATTTTATGTAATATTATGCAGCATCGTCGTCCTCCTCATTATCCTCGTCCGTTTCTTCTTCGCTCTGTTCGCTAAAGTCAGCTTCTAAGGCTTCATCCTCTTGGCGACTAATCAACAACATTTCACTATCACTATCCTCATTTTGTGCATTATCTTCGGATTTTTTCATGTCCTTCAACTTGTCTGATCTCTCCAGAAGCACGCGTAATGTATATTTGTTGTAGTCACATCTGAAAATGTACATAATAAGTATTCTATTGTATGCCATTTTGAATTCAAGCTTACATTTTGTTTAGCATTTCATATTTGTGCGATAGACTTTCGTGTAGGGCTAGCAAAGCCGTATGCTGAAAAACCCCATCACGATTGCCATGAGTGGTAAGAAGGCAACAGCACCATTGCAAATAGAACTCAATGTGGGGCGAGGACTGCAGCAGGCGGGCCAGTTGTTGCAACAAGCGCTGGGCAAAATCGGGCGACAGATCCGCGCAAAGTAGCTCAACTGTAAATGGGAAAAAAGGTCGAACAAAACATTGAATTGAGTATACATATGCAGACACGTGCGGTAAACGCAATGGCAATTAATTTACATATGTGTGCATGTGTGACACAAAAGGGTTTATTAACAATGCAAAAAAAAAACACAATTGGAAGCTATCTTAAGCAGGCTGAAATTTGCATACCCTTGCAGAATAAATTCAGTACATGGAGGCATTTAAACTCAAGTTATTATTTGAATAAACAGGCTCCTGTGGGAGCTATAGCATATAGTAGTGAGATGTTCTTTGCACGCATAAAAATGCGTTACACACTTTGAAGCAGAATCATAATACCCAATGCAAGGGTATCACAACTTGATTCGCGTGCAAAAACGCTTTGTTGGCCACGTTAATGCAGAAAGAACCTTGAAACATTTGCTTTTTAGTTAACAGCAACAAAAAAAAGCATACAAATTTACACATTCGATCCATATGGAGTTGGGTAATAAGCGCCTTGAATGCAAGGGTGAAAAATTCAACATTCATCTATTTTTGGACATGCGAGCAATGGAAGAAATTGCTATTGATTTAAGAAAAAAAGCAAACAAAAAAATGAATAAAATTGGTTCTAAGGCTGACTCCGAATGCAAGGTCGCGTAAGCCACCTTTTTGCCTACCAATATTCAGGTTATTTACAACTTAAGTACTTACTATCTCTGTATGGCACGCGCTCCAAGACTAAGGTAACCAAATTGGGCTCATTTAGTTTCAAGGACATGATGAGTGCCTTTGTGAAATCCCTGGTTTTGAGTGCCTCGTGTGCCGCCTTCGGTGTCACTTCCAGCGTCAAATCGAACGGATCGAAAACTACACCTATATATACATCAAATACATTATTTAAATAAATTTGCCTATATAATAATAATTGCAGCTAATTAGCCATACCCTTATCCAGAGCATATATGCATAGACCCTCGGTTCCTGCGGCAGCAAACGCTTGACCCGTCGGTGAGAAGCGTACGGCGAATATTCTCACCTCCGGCTGAAAACGGCGCGAGGACATATCACCCCTGCGTACGCCAGGCAAACGGATTGCCACATTGCCGCCTTCGAATTCCTCGCGCTGCTCCACCAAAGCCATGTTGCCAAACTCGCTCAGATGTTTGCGACTAATGAACTCCTGCAGAGAGAAAGTATTCATAAGAATTTCTTCTGTTTTTTTTCTGCGTCATTAATTCCACTCACATTTAGGCCATCCAAGCTGTGATTCTGGGTTATTTGGAATTTCTTGAGCAGGATAGCCTCACGCACATGATATATACAAATATTGGCGGATTTGCCAGCAGCTAAAATACATTCCCCGTCCGCAGAATATTCGATTGTCGAGAAGTAACTAAAAACAGATGATCGTTTTAAGTTTAAATGACAAAGCTTAGCTGCTACACTTACTTTGATTGTGCATTTTTTTTGGCCGTAACAACATCCGTTTCCAGGCGTCCGCCACCCAAATCATCGCGCCCCTCAATTGTGACCACTTGTGTGGCAGATTTGACATCAAAGATGATTATGTTGCCCACAAGCGTGGCAACAGCGACCTGAAGGAAGCACATTGTGATTAAGGGACATTAAAGTATATTAAAGCATTCACCTCTTCACCACTGGGACTGAATGCCACACAGGTCACATCGGAGAGCGCATCAATTGTTTCGTGCTCACTGTTGCTCTCCAAGCAATTCCAAATCTTGACCGTTTTATCCCACGAGCCGGAAATGAGTGTCGATGAGGTGCCAACTGGGGAAAAGGCCACCGAAGTTACGGGACCCTCATGACCACTAATCACCTCCAGCAATTTGCCCGTCTTAATGGACCACAAGTAGATCTCAAAAACATCCTGGCCACCAGCGACAACCAGCTCGCCGGAATAGTCCAAAGCGACGCATGCAAATTGTGCTGGAGTTGGCGATGTAAATGTTCGAAAATTGCGGTACCTAAAAAAGAGATTTTCATTAAATACAAGATGATTAAAGTTATTTAAGGAGTGCAGAGCATACCTGATGATATCAAAGGCACGTACAGTGCCATCCAGCGAACTGCTAACTAGGAACTTTTTATTCCGACTGAACTGCACTCCGGTCACGCCACTCGTGTGCTCACTGAACGTGACAAAACAGAAGCTACTTTGAGTGTTCCACAGTTTCACTTTGGAATCCTCTCCACCGGTGACGATATACTGGCCATCCGGCGAGTATGCAATGCAGGACATTTCACTACTATGTCCCTGTTGCTTCATTATGTACTGCTCGCTCTGCCACTCCCATACCAGTAGTTGTCCGATCTCCTTCGAGGCCAACGCTACCCAATCCCCAGTGCAATTAAAGACTGCCGCCGAGATGGGATAATCGGAGATACTCAACGAATGAATCATATTCACATCGGGCAGCTCGTACAGATAGAAGGCGCCAGTGCTGAAGGCCACCACCAAGATTTTAGTGCTACGATTATAATTGGCTGCCGTCAGCAAAGCATCTCGTTTCTCCTTGCGCGGCTCGTTGGCTAAGTAGTGCCTGCCCAGCTTCTTGTAGAAGAATGGATGTGATTTCTTAATGCCTTCATCTTTCAGTTCGTTTTGATCCTCGCCGACAGTTTCTAATTCCTTTTTTACAGTCTGTTTCTCAACATTATTGTCGACATCATCTTCGGATTCGCTCTCCGATTCTTTTTTGAGAGCCTTGCGTTTATGGACTGGCGGTCCAGTTTGATCGTCATCCATTAAATCAGAGGGCTCCATGCTGCACTCCCAGAGGCACAATTGTCCATTCTTACTCACAGTGTTGAGGTCCAAGCTATTCGCTTCAAAGAAGCACGAGACTATTGCATCCGTGTGCCCGCTTAAATTATATGTGCGGAAATTTCTTGTGCGTCGCATGCCGCACACTTTGGTGGAGCTATCGCGACAGCCGATGGCAAGAAACTTCGAATCTGTGGACCAATCCATCCACGTGATCTCATCGTAACCACCTAGGAAACTGCGCTTCAACACAAATGGATTATATTCTCCAGTTATTTCTCCCGGAGCAGAAAATACGAGCACCAGATTCTCCCTGGCCACCGCAAAATAGCTGCCATCCGGACTGAATTTAATGCACTGCACGCCCGTTTGAAACTTATGACGATGTATCACTGTGCAGGAGACCATGCTGATGAGATGTGCATCGCCCTGCTCATTGACAGCAATCATTAAACTGCCATCCGGAGACAAATCGATGTTGGTGTAGTTGTAGCGAGACTCCAAAGACAATGTACGCGATTTGTTGCTGCCAAACGTAACAAGATATTATGAATCGGATTATATATTGCTAAGCAGAATTTCCAATCTTACTTCTTTAGATCGTATACAGTTATTCTGTTACCCACTGGGCTGATTACTGAATTGCCATCCGGCGTGAAGATCAAGTTTCCATTGCGATAAATTGTGCCCAACAAATTCGAAAACTGTAATCAGAAATAATTATAGTTATCTGTTTACTGCCAATAATATTTAACTCACTTTGTAAGAAAACTTCATGGCGCTGTTTTATTTAATAAACCAATAATATTAAAATGTAGCGCTCCAGCGATGAGTATAAACAAAAGGCACTGCACGTGTTGTGTTAAGTGTGGCGCTAAAAAATGTCAAACATATGATAAAAATACCAAAAATTACCTGTAGCAACATTTTTCGGTATTTTTAATTACAGCTGACAGCGCTGCCAACTTGTCGACTCAGACAACAATTTCACACAAAGAAGAACAAGAAAAGACAACTTCGCAGCAGCAAGAAAATAAATAAATAAAAATAAATATTTGGGCATCCATAATGGAAAAGAGCAAATCGACTACGGACAAGTTGGCCGAGCGTAAGGCGCGCCTACTCGAACTGCACAAACAGCGCCAGGAGGCGCGCACCCAGAACCACCAGGAAGTCGTCGCCGAAGACGCACGCAAAAAGCTGCCCAGCAATTGGGAGGCACGAAAACGACAAGCAGAATGGCTGCTGGCCGATGATAAGGCACGCGAGGAGGCCCAATCTGCTGGCAAGGATTATGAGCGCCTAAAGTTGCTGGAGGTCTCAGCCATCGATGCGGAACGTATCGAGAAGAAGAAGAAGCGCAAGGATAATCCCGATTTGGGCTTCTCCACGTACGAGGCGCAAACAGCGAGACAATACAATCGACTAGTGAAGACCATGCCCGCTCGCGATATGGTCAAGTATGAGAAACAAAAGGCTGAGTTGGGAGACGCTTTCTATGGCGGCCCCAATACGACGCTGCACTCAAGGACGAAGGACACACCGGGCGCCATTAATGCCATGGTTAAGGATCTGGATCAGCAAATCGAGCGTAGGAAGAAATATTCCAGGCGTCGCATCTATAATGATGATGCCGATGTTGATTTTATCAACGAACGCAACTCGAAATTCAACAAGAAATTGGATCGCTTCTACGGCGAGCATACGGCGGAGATCAAACAAAATCTGGAGCGTGGCACAGCAATCTAAATTTAATTAGATTTTTATCCAAATAACCCATAGTTTTTAAGTGCATTGTGTACCTCACATTTATATGTACATTGTTTCTATAAGGCCATCAATTTCAATTTAATATGAAAATGCAAATAAACAAAAAATATTGCATGAAATTCTTATGATGGGTATTTTATTGTGAAGTGAGTTTTAACGAGTATTTTAAAGTTACTGTGGCTTAGAAAATACCATCACGTTGGTATTTTAAATACCACAAGAAACTAAAAGCTGACAAGATTTGTTTACATATGTGATTGTTCAGTTTGTTTGGTAAATAATGCTATTTGATCACAACAATGCAACAATTCAGCGCACGTGAAAAGTATTTGATAACAAACACATTAAACAGTTTGCCAGTAATATTGCAAGGACGCGCTGTGCTCATTGATCTGCACAATGAGACATCCGTAGCGGGAATAATTGACTCCGCCGATGGCCACATGACATGCGAACTGACTAATGCAGTCTTCATAGATAGGAATGGAGAACAACATGCCTTTGATCATTTCATGATACGCAATCGAATGATTCGTCTGCTGCACGTGCCCAAGGATCTGGATATCAAGCATGAGATTGAGCAACTGCAGCGGAGGCCGCCCAAGAAAAACAAAGCAAATGCTAAGCGATCTTTCAAACAGAAGCGCGCCGAAGAACGCCATAAGGAGACTTTGGAAAGCATTAAAGCGCATAGAGATGCGGAGAAATCGTAGATGAATTCCCAATTGGGGAATGAAAATAAGGAAATAAAACGAAATAAACAATTATTTAGTTATGTTGATTACAAATTATTATTTCCTTCACATAATTATATTTGCTGTGCAATTATTTCTTGGACTCCTTTTCCTCCTTGTACTTGTAATGCAGTTCCATGCAATCTGTATCAGAAATTTTGATCCAACCATTCGGGGTCATGTGATAGACACGAACAATGCCACCGGAATAAGCATCGCGGAATGTGGCATGATAAATAGCACGACGGCCCAATTCCTGTGCCTCCGTGTCCTTTAAATCCCAATGGTAGCCAGAGTCGAGCACACCGAAGGCGAAAATAGAACCGCTGCCTACGGAGAAGACATTTCCGGGTGTACGAGATCCCTCCGAGTCCACATAGTAGAGACCCGGGCCTCGCTTATCGTAACCCGCAAGCATCATGCCCATGCTCAGGCCCATGCCCTTGTATTCGTGGGCAATGTTAGCCATAATCTTGCTGGCTGCCGCCACCGAGATGCGTTCCTTGTTGCGCAGCTCATGCAGGCGGCATTCCTTGGCAAGGACGCGATCCCAATAAACGCAGTCAGCAGCGCCGCCAGCCAATGTGCCCAGCAGGAACTGATTGATTTCCACAATCTTCTTCATGGTCTGCGAACCAATATACTGGCCACCAGTGGCACGCGAATCCACTGCCAAAATGACGCCACCTTGGTATTTGAAACCGAGAGTTGTTGTGCCATGGTCAAAGTTGATTTTAACACCGGTCTTGGCAGCATTTGCCTGAATCTTGTTCAGATTATCCAGGGGCTGCAATGCATCATTAAAATATATGTTACTATTTTCTATTAATAAAAATATTCATATTCGATTCACTTACATTCTCAAATGGAGGCGCTGCCAATGTGTAGGGATTTGCAATGTTGCAGCTGAAGGCGTTCAGCTCGTTCTCGACTTCACTTGAGGTCCACGCAGCTGGCTTCATGTAGGAAGCATTGGAAATTTTACAAATTTCTGCCAATGCCATTTTATTAACACTTTTTGTTTGATTAAGTTGCCGACGCAAAAATTGCAAGTAGTTTGTGATGAGATGACAAAAATTGAAACAAGTACTAGCGATGTGAGAGAATGGAAGACAAGCATCGATAGATCGATTTCTATCAACTCGATGTATATCGAGGGGAACATATACTGCTGTGGGCACCCCATTAACATTTGCTGCAATGCTATCTTTAATTTTTATTTATTTATTATTTCGATTTGCACCACGATGTTAAATATATATAATGCACAAATAATGTTTATCAAGTCCTCTAAGTTAAAATTGTTGTTGTTACTGCACACCAACTTGTTCATAGAAAAGTTTCTGTAAATGGCGCAAAATTTAAAAGAAACAAACGGCGAATGACGATCATGTCTGATTTGACCAGCACAGCTGTTGTCGGAAATGATGTCGATAGCCAAGCACAACCAATGACTTTTTCGATAAGTGGAAAGGGGCGACAACCATAAACTAAACCTGTTGCCAATTTTGCAATTCGCCTCAATTTTCTCTTCTATTTTCCTTTAGGCCTGGCTTAAAGCCAAATTAACTCTGGGCGTACACAAAAATGTAAGCAAATGTAACAAACAAGTCGACTTATAAACCAAATATGAACCACTAAAATAACAAAACGGTCAAAAGGTATAAGCTTAACGTATAACGGATTGAAATTAAAAAGCGATTTAAGTTGTAAGTCGTGAAAATTTGTGTTAATTCGCTGCAAAGCAGTCTGAGCTCCATTAGCGAAAAACTTTCTGAGTTTTCTTGAATGGTGGCAATAATCTTAAGAGAATTTTTAAATTGAGTATAAAAATGTGTATAAATATGTGAAAAGATTGGAATAGAAACTTACGAATATGCCTGATGTAAATACATATGTGCGTGGTATTTATAACGCTACTTGTTGTATGTGTGTGCGTGTGTGTGAGTGTGCGTGTGTGTATGTGTGTACTTGCAGAGTACAAAGTATTTTAATGAGTAATAAATATTGTAACCGTTAAATTAATAATAAAATTGATTACCTCTTTTTGAAGTCGAATTGAATTTTTGTAATTAATCTTTAGACAATGCAGCATGGATCACACCCTGAAGCAGGAAGCCTTGCCGAATGCCATTTCCGGGGTAGGTTGAAATGTACCGCAAAGCTTAAGTCAATATGCTAATTGGAATTGTATGTTTTCAGCATGACTGCAGAAATTGGACGGCTTTGCATGAGGCTGTTGCCGCCGGAGATGATAAGAGAGTGCAAGTTCTGCTCTCCAGCAATGCCACAGATCGCTTGGCCAGGGAGTCCAGTCAGGGGAATACCCCATTGCATGAGGCCGCCAGTCGTGGATTGAGTCGCTGTGTCAAATTGCTCTGTGCCCCGCCCACATCCGCGAAAGCGCAGCCGAGTCATGGCAAGGAGAAGAGCCGACTGAAGTCGCGGGTGGCGAACACAATTGAAGCCTTGCACAACAGCACGCTGAGCATCATTAATAATGAGGGACTCTCAGCTCTGCATTTGGCTGCCCAAAATGGTCATAATCAAAGCTCACGGGAATTGCTGATGGCCGGCGCCGATCCGGATGTTCAAAATAAGGTATAGATTTTTAATCCCTAATGGTATTTGTAATAATCTTACAATTTATATTAAGTACGGGGATACGGCGCTGCATACGGCTTGCCGTTACGGGCATGCGGGCGTTACCCGTATTCTGCTCTCCGCCCTGTGTGATCCCAACAAAACCAACCTGAATGGAGATACCGCATTGCACATCACCTGCGCCATGGGTAGGCGCAAATTAACCAGGATTCTGCTCGAGGCAGATGCGCGTTTGAGTGTGAAGAATGCCCAGGGAGACACCCCACAGAGTATTGCAGTCCGCAAGAATTATCGGGAAATAAATGAAATACTCAGCACTCCAAAGCGCATACGTAATCGGAGAGAAAAGCCAAAGGATAATGAGAAGACGGATAAAGCACTGGACAAGGATAAGGATAAGGATAGGGATAGTGTGGATAAGGCTATCAATTGGTCACCCTATGGTTGTCATTACTTTCCCGATCCACGCAGCTTTCCATCGCCTAAGCTAGAGACCTTACCAAAAGAGCCGCTGAAGCAGGGCGAGCAATATTTCCTTGATCTCGCTGGACACATCCATAAGGGTCCTGTGAGTGTGGGCAACACCTGCTACTGTGGACCCTTCTTCCGGCACATAGAGAACAAATTGAATTGCAATCGTAAGAGCTTGAAGAAATACGTGCACAAGACCAAGGAACGATTGGGACACAAGGTCCAGGCGCTGGCTATAAAGACCAATGATCAAATCGAGCAACTCACTCGCACCATGATCGAGGATCGGATGCGGTGTGAGAGCAAGCGGCAGTATCTCAACGAATATCTACGACGCGGTGAACCCCTGCGCTCCACATTCGACAATCAGACCAAGTGTACCAGGATAGAGAGAACATTGTCGCGATGCCGCAGCTTGGATCTACTGGAGAGCAATTTCGAGAGCAAACAAATGCCCAACTCGAAGAGTGTTGATATTCTCGAAGAGAATCAAACCGTCGTGGACGTTGTTTATCATGGCCACTCAAAAGATGCGACAGCTGAGAGCGATTCAAATGGGGACACGCATTCCAATTCCAGTGCTGGTGGAGTTGAGGATGCCATGGCCACGCCCCATTCAGCAGCTCAAGAAGATTCAAAGCAATCGAAACTGGATGAACTCAAACTTGATTTTCTGAAAGTATCCGAGCGACTGGGAGATCTGTTGGAGAAGACTACTCTAATTATGGAGCGAGATAACGAGCAGGAGAACAAACTACAGCTTTGCTCTTTATCGCCGGAGCAAAGTAATCCGTCCATGCACAGCCCAGAGAATCAAGAAAACAAAGAGAGTCCCAATTATGATGGCTATGCGAATGGTCAACGACGCTATCCCAACTCGAGTGAAACATCAAATCCCTCACAAAACTCCAATAGTTGGGAATTTGGAACAACTCCGCCGGATGCCCAAAAGTATTATCATCATTGCATTGGCCGGGGTGAAAATATGCTGAATACAGTGATTAAAGCACTGCGCAAGGATGCCGCCTTTGCGGATCACAATCAGGACGACGTGGCGCTCAACCAAAATGCAGACAGATTGTGTGGCGATAAGTTGATGTATAAGGAACAGATCCATGAGGCTCCATCGCCATCTTGCAGCACAGATGCGCAACAGTTGTATCCAAACTGTCACAAATCCATGTCCAATCTAATGAAACGCCAGCCACTCTGTCTGGAGGATAACTTTGCAGCACATCCCGCACTTTTTTACACAAATCCCATGGGTATGCCTCAAATCTCTCCGGTTGGACTGCAGATGAGACAAAGCTCCAACGAGGCTGCGGGCAAGGTGGAAATTAAAAACGGCGAAATTAAATACCTGAAGAAACCCAGTACGGGTCAAGTCAAGGATATGGTGGCACAATTGCAGGGTAAAATTGATTGCAATCAAAATTCTGATAATGAACTGGCTCTGAGCTCCGAAGTGCACAACTTGAATTATGGCTTGCGGGGCATTGAAGACACACCTCGACTGCCCTTACAAAATCCTTCCGCTCTCTACTCAAGCCACATGCGAACGAATCCCCAACAGCTGAGGCACATACCAAAAGATGCATACTTCCACGATCTGCCAAATCGATCAAGAGAACCGCCAAGAGTTCAAAACATTTACTCAGCAGATTTGGCTAGTGCTAGATATATGCGAGGTTATGGTCGACAACCGGAATCCCAGTCTCCCAGTGCACCACCAACGCTCCATCTGCAGCCAAATCATCATCATCACCATCATCATCCACAGGAGCTACTGCCTGCAGAGTATATAAGCCGCAATTCAAATTTGGTCAATGGCAACCAGCCTCAACATCTGCACGGGAATGTGTTACCAAATGTCAGCTCTATAAGAGCGCATCCGATAATCTTTCGAAATCCGCTGCCACATGATGAAGCCGATCTAGATGTGGATGAGATCGCCGCTGTTGGCTTATACAATAATGTTTCCAGCCTAGTTTAAGGATACTCAAAGTAAATGTAAAGAAAATATATATATATAAATGTGCTGATTTTGTAGCCAACATTTTTGTAAATAGTTGTCACAATGTATTTATCATTATTTTAATGTATATGTAATCCTGTTCATGATGGACTCTATACCAGATATATGTATGTCAAATTTCTGGACGTTGTGGCCGGCAAGTAACAACAATTGGCAAACAGTAAAAATTGTTAGAATTCGCAGCATTTTGTTTTTGGCACTATTTTTTTCTGTAAATATATGTATATATGCATGTATGTACTTATATTTGTAGTTTTCTGTGTTTTTGTCTTCACTCTATAAATAACTACGTATATAGTGTTATTATTGAATTAAAATATATTTTCTTTAAAAAATTTTTTAAATATAATAGTTTTTTAATGTATGTGTAAATATCAGAATGTCAAGTACATATTTATTTGATAACAGATCATGTTTTGGTGTTTTGATAGACATGCGGCATACGACATTGTAAAAATCAATTGTTTTTTGTTTTTTTCTTTAAATGTTTACAAATTATCTGATGATGACAACGTTTGATATCATTAAATTTAATATATTTATATGTTTAATATGCTTGCTTGCTTGCTTGTTAATACGTTTTTGTTTAGCAAATTGCCTACAAATGATTTCTCGATGTTTGATACATACTATTTAATTGAAAATTCTATAAATGATGCTGCCCTTCTGCCTTTCATTTCTAATCAAATTACACAATATCGGCCACTTAATAATTATCTTAATATCTGCATAGTCAAATTACATGTTACAATAGCCAATAATTTATTCGCTTTTAAATGTAGCCTAATATATAAACCTATTAACATTATTTTGTTTTCTTTTGCAATCTATTGGGAATTTTTCTTCTTTTCTTGGCTTTAATGAAAAATGAGTGTCGATTACCCGGCATTCTCCTCTCGAATTGAACTTAACAAATATTGTTATTTTTGTTGTTATTGTTGGTCTTGATGACAGCAGGGATGAGTTACGCTCGATTGGGAAATCTGCATGTAACGAATATTTTAGATCAGGTAATGTCTCAAAGGGGACTGTTGTCCGAGTCTTCGCGCTCTTGGATTGTAGTTATACTTTGCTGCAAGGCATTCGGTGTGAGCCACTCCCTAAAAATGTACAAATAAATATAGATATACTTTTCACTGATAGAAGACAAACTCACTTTGGTAAACATCTTTGTAAAAAGGGTACACAGGAGCTGAAATGTGCTAGACGATTCACCCAGCTGGGTATTTCTTGGCCGCAAAGTATCTGATATTAATTAAAACTCAATTAATACAATATAAACTGATGAGAATTTTGGAGACGTACCTGTGTCAAATTGCCCGAAAAGTGGTTACAATTATTGTTCATAAGATGATAACGATCGCCGCGAAATTGATTGCCCAACTCCTCGACAAGGCGACGCACTTCCTCATATGTAAAATCCGTGCAGCCAATTTGTATGCTCTGCCGGAATTGAAACTGTTCGCCCAGTTCGTCGTGATCACGTGGACTGATTTCAAAGACGCCCGTAAATGGGAAAGGATGTCCACCATATGCGAACTCAGTGCCGAATGCTTCTACGCCGGAATGGAATACGCCCAGACCAATTGAAGTGGTATATTCATTAATCCAATACTGCAAATGGGAAATCAATTAACTTCAACTGAATTGTAATTGAATGAATTTCAGTCCTTACCATATCATAAACATTGAGGATAACTGGTTCTCTTGTCCCCATATTGGATGGCAAGAGCTCCTCGTTGCCATCTTTTGGGACACTTAGGCAGCTCGGAAATGACAGGTTGCAGGGCAGCCCGTTGGAGAACATTGATTAAATGCGTTGTTGGTTTTTTCTTTCTTTCTATACTGCAAGCAACATTTGATACTTTTAATACACAAATATACTCACAAAGATTCTTATTCTTTGTTTATTGCTATATTTGGATTTTGAGGAGTTTCACAGTTGCAAACACGCACACACATGTGTGCGTAAAAGAAAGTATGTGTGTTCAAAAAAAGTACACTTGTGTATGCACATATGTTCAATTACATACATATGTGTACACATTATATACTCTCATCATCTTCATACATACACACAAATATGCGTGTTGCAAATGTGTCATAGCAAACAACTTACACAAGTAATGCAGGACCCTAATATCCCATGCTCCGGTGGAAGTTAACAATTGACAATTGCCAAATGTAAAGTTTTACGCATTTATTATTTTATTTACTTCCGCATCCGTTTTTTGTTTTTTAGTTTATACACAAGATTTTTTTGTTTATGGATTGATTGTAGAGTTGTGCTGGCCCAGTTCAGAGTATCGTTCATTGAAATCGGCTTATCGAACTACTCAAATCGGTTCTTCGATACCTCACTTAACCTAACAATGTATCGAACTTATTTTGACGCGATTATCGTACAAATAATTCAAAAGTTCGTTATGCAAAAGTTCTTGTAATACGTGTTTTTTGAATTTCTTGTTATAGATATATATATTGTTATAGAATTTTCACATGAATTTCGAATCATTATCTGATTAGAAACTTAAATTCAGGATTAGTGTGTGATGTGATCAAAAAAGTTTTGCTCTTAAAAATCGGTTTAGACAGTGTTATGGCAACGGAAAACTTTGACTCCAAAAGTAAGTTTTGTTTTTTAAAATATAGTATTTGTGCATAAACTCCGACCAAGCATAGTGCTTCTAAATTTATATGCAGTATTCACCTGGAAGTTAAGCCGGAATCAAAAAAGCTCTTGGAAATCGACTTTGTTTCAACAAAGTTATGCCAATTTGTTATGTCAGACTTTGATGTTTATGTTGGAAAACCAACTTCTCCTTACAACAACAAAACATAGCTTGGCACTTTTTTGTGAAGGCTAAGAACAGCTGTTTATCGCAATATTTATCAAAACTGTAAGTTTTTCAATAACTGCGCATGTCAGAGAACTTAATTTACAAACAACACGTGCTATAAAGCTTTCCCGCGTCAGAAAAGAATGAGTCGATGTATGTATATAAAACAAGAAATTTCGCCGGCTCTCTCAGTCGTTACGGCGTCATCGTCAAGTTCTCATTGACAATTGAAAGAGGGTCGAGCCACAAATATCCTCCAAAAGCCCACCCGTGCTCTCAGTCTTTGCTGAGCAATGCGGAAGAACGGTTAAGGTTGAGTCATAAAAAAAAGAAGAAAAAAAAAACGCAAATCTCAGAGTACTTAGTACTTCAACCAAAACGCCAGCATAAATGAGTGTAGAGATTATAAAAGTGATTTATTGTTTCTAAACCAATTTAATAAATGTGAAAATAATCAAGTTTTATTTTTAAAACGAAATTCATACCAACGTACATTTGCCAAAGTTCAAACTACCGAATGTAATTTAATTTTTCTTAAGTGCGTCTTTAAAGAAGCTATATTTGTTCAACGAAGGACGTTTTAAGTGCGATAGCTTCACAAAACAAAGATACATATACATATTGGTATTTTTATTGGGTGCTCTGAAAAAGTTGCAAAAATGTGTAAGTGAACATGGAAAGTTCGCCGTCCAGTTCCATAGAAAAGCAAATCGATCACTTTTTGGAGCATTTTAAACGTAGTGCTTCCAAGGCCATCGATACGGATTGGAGCAGCACCTCCACAGATATCAACAATGGGTCCTCGAGTAGTCCCCAACGGCAGCCGCCCTTGCAGCGCTTACTGAAAAAGACTAAAAGTCGCTCAAGTTGTCTAGACATATCCGAGATGTCTGGTGAGTTAAACCAAAATAGACTATTAATATGTGAAATTCATTTAGCTAGTGCTTAATAATAATAATAGTCAAGATTTATGCGAAGTTCCTTTATTTACTGCTCTGGCAAGCATCAAGGTTACTGTTTGTCTTTAGTCCACCCCACCCAACCCATGCATTTGCCGTGTATTGATTTTCCACGTAAGGCAACATCAATGGCATTTAACTTCTCCTTCAGTGTCACGACTAAACTGTCTCTCCATTGTTATATTTATAAGCATGGGCATATTTAATGATATGTCCCTGTGCTACTGTAGACTTTGCATAGATGGGGTGAATAATATTAACTTAATGCATTTTTGAATGCCCTTGCAGCAGGTGTATAAATTATGTACTTTTTTCTTAAACGTACTTTACTATACATTCGATAAATATTATTATTTGTTATTTGATGAAGAACTTTATTGATTTTAAACATATTTTTAGAAAATATAAATCGGTTGTAGATTTAATAGCCAATTTATTGATTCCTGAAAATATTGACAATTATTTAAAATCTTTTATGTTTCTTAAAAATCTAGCCAAGCTCAAGAGCGTTTGCAAATATGCACATATTTATGTAGGTATTTACATATTCATTCGGAAGTAATTGAATACGTTATGAGTACAAAATGTGAAATGCATATTGCACTTTTCATTTAGCTGCACTTTAATGGCCGCTTTTATGAAATACGTTCGCACACATACACATACACATGTGGGGATGTGTAAATACATAAACGTTGCAAGCTTTACCCCCATTTCAATTGGTTCAACGCTGCAAGGGGGTTTCAATTCTATTTAGGGTACACGACGCTTAGTGCTAATCACCGGTGTTCACAATCCTCATTTGTTGTTGCCTGTTGCTTTGCGCTTAGCCCACGCTGGTAATTATGCATACCTTTAAAATTATATGTATATTTACGGCCTTCCCTTCTAGTTTTTTTTCCCCCTGTTTGATGATTTATAATATGTTTTATTTGAATTTAAGTTTTGAAATATTCAAATTCGTTCTTTTAATAATATCGATTCTGAATATAACAGTCAACAAATTCTATTTTTATCAGTATCGATACTTCTTATGGAATCAGTGGATCGCTGCTAAGATCTTAATTCGATTGGCTGGTATTCGCACTATTAGCTTTTTCAAGTATTAATAATTTTGTTGATTTTCCAATTTTAGTTACTCCTAATTTGTACATAAATTCATATTTGAAATGATCTTTCGGTATGTTGTTTTAAGTTCACGAATCAATGAGTGAACCGCTGCTAATAACAGACCCAGGAAATGTTAAGTTGCTCTCACTGCCATGTTATTTATAATAGTCTCGCTCTTCTTCTTGTGTGTAAAGTATACCCGGTGCACAGTTGAATTATATATAATATATAACAAATATTGATGTTCAGTTATGTATGTGCATAATTTAATTTTAATTGATGTTGACGCGCATGTGTTGGTAATTGATTGAATCGTGATGTTCGTTTGCTGTTATGTTAGTTAAAATTGCAACTAATTCTACATAGCATATGTCAATACATATACAATACATGTACATGTAAACATCTGTACAGATGCGTGTATATATGTATGTATATATTTTCGGTACTTATCAGCTGTGATTGATTCAAGTTGCCATTGAAATGATGCGAGTTATTAAAGCGACCACGGTTGTGATTATTCTCTTGTGCAATTATTCAAAGTACTAAATTTACGTTTACTTGCCTTTGTTTAGCAAAATTTGACATTTTTGACATACGTAAAAAACTGATCAAAGTGAACTACGTCCTTACAACGACAGGGATGCACAATATTTGTGCGTGTGTGAGTGAGTAAATAATTATGTGTGTGTATATATATATGTATGCAATACATATACGGGCGTTGTAAATTTGTAACCTAATTATAAGAAATACGTTTGTATTCATGTATTCATGCATGAATCAGATGCAACATATTGCTCACCTGCACAGTGATCATAAGCCACATACAAATACTCCAAAGAAGCATTTCAAATCCTACCGGGCTGTTGAAAACTGAGCTAATTGCTTTTGAGCGTTTTTCAGTCCCTTTTTAAGTGCGGTGTGTTCAATTACGTGTGAAAATTTTAACATACTTTACATATATATATGTGTGTATGTGTATTGTGATTATTTTGACAAATTTGAGCTCTTTGGATTTATTTGCAATTTCGGAGTATATAGAAATATATATACAAGTTTGATCTAATTTATTTACGGCTATACCTTTTAAGGTAAATATATAAATCACATTTACAGTCACAAGTACTTTTTCTATCAGCAGATGACACATTCAGTGCCCAGTTACTGATTCCCGTGACTTACAAAAACAATAACTTATTTTGTATACAAAAATAATTATTACTCAAGAAAATTAAAAGGCGTGCGTGACTGTGATCAACTGAATAATATACTTTATTTAGGGTTAAAGTGCCTTACAGCACATTTAATACACATATTGACATACATACGTATTTGAAAAAGATTATAAGCGCTCTAAATGGGAGTTACGTAATTTATTTTGTACTTAAGCATACATACATTAATTCCTCGTACATATACAAATATTCTCTCTAACACACACTCACATTAGAATGTATTTGAAAATGATTTATTTTTTTTGCGCAGCCTTTGTATAAATTTATTGTAGCAGAAATTTATATATTTGAATCCACGTTAAATATGATAATATAAGGTTTGTTTTTGTTTTTTAAATTCTATACATCACGCCCCCAAATGTACAGTAATACAAACACCTGTGCACACAAATACATACACCTGTGAGCATGTATGTGTATTCACATACACATAAATGTTGCGCTAAAAATAAAATTGTAAAAAGTGCACCGCAATTCGCAACGGAAAATAAAATATAAATATTTTCGAGTTTAGATGATTGGAGCCAAATAGTGGTGTCGTGACGTCAGCCAGTGAGTTTGTGGCGACAAAAAGTAAAAGTTTACTAAACATAGCTCGTCATGCTTAATTTTAGCAGACACATTTGAACAACAACAATAATTGTCGGTTGTTGTATTTGAAAGCTTTTCTCATTATTCATACTTTCTATTAGATAATATACTTCTTAATGTATAACAACTATCGCTTAGCAGCACCCTTATCACTGTCAAATGTAATGTATGAATGTAATTGTATTTAATAGCAGATATGGATGGGAGACATCTCCGACATTCACGACTAACAGAATAGAACATTTTTTAAAATTTAACATCATACTAAACGGTAGTAATGACGTTAGTAGCTAATTACAGCTATTAGAACATTAACTTGGAATTAATTGCAGCAGCGGAAAGCGCAGAGTAGTAGAACAAAAAGCACTGCGCAACTAAATGTCATAATATTTCATTATAAATCTATCCACTGGATCTACAGATGTTACACGCTAAACAATTGTACCGAGAGGAAACACACCTAGAATCGTTTAGATACTCACGAGTGCCGCAATTCTACTTAAATGCACTTCTTGTTGCAAAAACATAGAGGGATGTAGTTTTTAAAGAAAGTTGTATATTGTAATTTCTCTAATAATACCAGAGGCAGCTTCAATGTACAAAAAATAATGAATGAGGAAAATAAATGTTAAAACTAAAAGCTTTATCCACAATAATCTCATAGTATGAAAAATGCCAACTACTTTTTGGAAGCACATTCCTTAAAGTCCCATTGGGTATTTTCGGTATCTGCGTGCATCTCAACGAATATGAGAGATCTGAAGTGTTTCATTGACTGACTCTTTTTTCGCGCTGCTCCAATTAGGTGTTTATTTATGTGTTGCAAACGTATCTTGTGTGTGCAGCCGTTGCACAGACACACTTCAGCTCGATTAGAAGAAAGCGGCAGAAAGAAACAACCGGCTAAAAAACTTGAGCACTTGGTGCTCTTCACATTTTTTTCTGAATTCGTCTGAAATTAAATCGTATTCTGGCGATCTCGAGCAATCACCTTCATGGCACTTGGTTTCTCAAGTGCCAGCTACTTTTCTCTTACGCAAGTTCTCTCTCTACAACTCTCCCACTCTACCACTCTCCATCTCACTCCCTCTCTCTCTATCTCTCTATTCTCTCCGCTTGGCAGCAGCTGATGTTTTTGTCGAGGCCAACAGTGCTGAAATCACTACCAGAGTCTCGTCGTTTATCGCAGTGGCAATAACATACGCTGCGTTTTAGTTACTAGAATTTATTTATTTATTCATCTATTTTTTTGTTGCTGTGGTGCTATGTGACTTTTGGTATCGCAGCGCATATTAAGGAAAAAATCAGCGCATCAATAGTGTTACTCACTTGTGCAACATGTGTCTATATGTAGTTATTTGTTAAAACTATACCTTCAGCTGTGTATGCCTCCATATGGCAAAAAAGAAAATCAGACAACAACGCATGTGAAATATTTACATTGACCGTCCCGTAATCAGTGTTGTTTTTACGGAAAACGTTTACATAGTTATCTATACTAGAAAAACAGATATAATGGGCAACCTGCAAACTTTGCCTGTTGGTATGTGATATGTTCATGATAAGAACGTTCTACTCTTCTGTTTTTTTTTTGTGTTATGTTTTCACTTGACCTAAGTTTGTTACTAATATGCAGTAATTAATAGTGTAAATATACATCCAAAATGTGACGGGATTCTTTTGAAAATTAATAATTTTAACTATATTTGAAAATACAAACACCACACCCATAATCGAAGCGAGGTTCTAACCCACATATGTATATTGTACTATTACACTTCTACTCTATTTTTTGAATTGTAAAAATAAAAAGAGTGAAATCATCTCACACCTAAAATGCCCTAAAAATATTCTCACCAATACACCTCAATTTAAATTTGAAATGTAGAAGCATATCTACTTTATAAAATATTTCTAATTTATTTATATATATTGTTATGGACATCATGTTAAAAACCTTTCGCAAATATAAATGCTCTTATTGACATGCTAATGAGTTTGTTGAATATTTTGTTTTAATAGACAATGATGTGGAAAACGCTTTGGCCGAATCTCAGGCAATTGTGATGAGTGCCTCACAGACACAGCAGCGACAGCAGCAGCTGATTAGCCAACATATGATCGACTCCCAGATCTCTGTGAGCAGTGGGGCTTCCATCCAGACGGCGATCTTTCAGTCGCTAACCAATTCACCGGCTCACACAAATCGCAGCACAGGACACTTGCAGCACACCACCTCGACGATTAGTAGTAATTCAACCACTTCTGTCAACTCGCAGGGCATCTCTTATGCCTCAGATGCGCTTAATGCGCAAAGACCCTCGGAGCAGATTAACTCACTGCTGGAACACATAAGTCCAGCCCAAGCGGCTGCCACCATGAGTGGCGAGGGAGTGCTCAATATAGCCGATGTGGCCGATCTGCTGCATCCGCAGCATGCCATCATCACAGGTGGGCGTTCGCAGGAAGGATGCCCACTGATAATCTTCCCGGATAACAATAATTTTAATTCAATCGAAGAATCTGACTACCAGAAACTCATTTTGTACCTTAGCTCCGTGCCATCGTAAGCAGAGAAATATTTAAATTAAAAATCACTTAAATAGTTATTAAAATAAATAATTTGCACAGGCTCCAGGATGCTGATCTTGGCTTCCATTTAATCATTGATCGTCGCAAGGATCGCTGGACATCTGTAAAGACGGCTTTGCAGCGAATATCGGTAAGTGATCTAATAATCTCTGAGTTTTATTCAATGAACAATATTAATGAATTCTCTTTTACTTTTGTAGATTTATTTTCCTGGTATTATACATGTAGTCTATGTACTGCGTCCATCGGGCCTCTTTCAAAAGGCGATATCCGAGGTGAGCTCAAAATTTTCTTCTAAGGATGAATATCGCTTTCGGCTTATTGTTTGCTCAGCACTGAGCGATTTACACGAGTTTGTCGATATCAGTCAGTTGACACCTGATATGGGCGGCTCATTAATATATTCCCATCACGAGTGGATACAACAAAGAATTGTAAGTAACTTAATCTTTTTTATGTGCTGTCTAATAACGGAATTTCTTCTCTTTCAGTCACTTGAGAAGTTTTCCAGCTTAACGCATCAAGTCTCTGCCGAACTAGACGTATTTATACAGGCCATTCATGATACCGAGTTTCCCAATTCCGTCGAGGCAACAAGAAAGCTGTTAGAGGATCAGGGTGTGGACTATGCCAGACTGAAGGTTACACTCCCATATATTATATCTTAGACCTTACCACTAATGTGATCTACATTTTTAGGAGGAAATTCTGGCTGCTGCCAAGCACGGCGAGACGCTGCTAGACAAAATCAAATCAAATGAGGAACTCAAAGAGTTTTCTGAACGCACCGGCAATGTTAGCTCAATTGAAAGGTATATATATTAACTATATAGAGTTGGTGTTATCAAATTGCCCTGGCGTGTTCTGCTCGATCTTTTCAACCTCTCTCTGTCTCTCTTAACTAAATTTCGCGTTCTTATATTAACTAAACTAATAATTCTATTTTTTACTAACTTGTCATCTAATTTGGTTTCTTATAGCTCTGCACTGGTTATGTACTTATTAACATTTATTTAAAGAAACCGTTTTGAAAACATTAGTTTAATTTCCTGTTAAGTGTACGTAATACATAACATTCCACATTTCTTATCAGCCAACCATTGTGTTATTGTCACATGTTTTTGTTTCGCAAATTAGTTTTTAAGCAAGCCATACATTATTTTCTAGTTAAAGTTATTTCTTAATTGACTTTTTATAGTGCAATTTAGTTACAGATTTGTACATTGTTTAATAGTTTGGGCACTGGCCCAATAAATAGGTCCAACATTTTATTGAAATATAGTCAATATATTTGAAGCTTACCTTATAAAAGCAGAGATTTTATTTCTTTTAGTTTTTCATATATTAAACGGCACTTTGAATTGTAGTTCAATAGTTAAACTATTTATGTTGGGTTTTTAAAATTTCAATCTAAATACATTTAATTAATATGTATTTTTAAATTTAGTTTGCGATTTTAAACAAAGTAAAGGTTAAAGGTTAATACAGCTTTTATAACATTTTCTTTTTGTAATGTAATGCATGAAAACAAAGTTATTAAACACGCAATCCAGTTTAAAAAGAAGGTTCTGCTTAATGTTGATAAAATAAAATGCGAAACAATAATAAAATGCATGTAGCTGTTGGTATTTGTTGGTATATTGCAATTAGGACTTTCGAGCGGTATACTATATATATATATATACATATATATGTGTGTTAAATATGCAAACAATATACACTTTAAACCATTTCCCTTGATTGATATGATATTGAAACAAACAGTCAAGCCACACTGTTCACAAACAATTTTCCACTATGCACACACACACACACACTGTTTTATTTAACAAATCCAAAAAAGGATGTAACTTTTAAGATCATGGAAACTTCGCTCATATCACTCATCAAGCTGTTGCCGTCTCTTGTCTTTTATCTTTCTTGTCGCGCTCTCGCTTTTGACATATGCAAATGTTGTCAAAACATTTTCAAAATGATAAATTTTCTTGAAAAAAAATGAAATAAATATATATAAATGTTAACGACCGTAAAATATCGATGTGCAGATCCAGTGCAGGGCAGCAAATACATCGTCAACAAATTATTTATCACCAACAATATAAGTTTAAACAACCCCAACATTATGATGATTGTCGCGATTATCGTAGACTGCTGGTCCAACTGGAGGAAACGGAGCGACGATTCGACGAATTCTGGCGCACACATCGTAACCGTTTGGAGCAGTGCCTGCTTCTTCGCATGTTCGAGCATGACTTTCGGGAATTGCAGGTGAGTCTCAAACGAGGAAAAGTTACATTTGTATGCCTATTATAATTATTAACTTTTATTCGCAGAACACATTCGATGGCCATCTTAAGACTGTTGCGGACATGACGGAAATTGGGGAAAGCGTCGATAGAGTCGCAACACTCGTGCTGGAAACGGAAGAATTTTGTACACTAATCAAAATCGATTTAGATCGTGCCACAGAGGCTATCCATGCGGGGCAGCAGCTAGTTGGCTCCCGTGGCGTCTATCCTTGGGAGATTGTGCAGCCCAAATGCGATGAACTGCAGCGTGTCTGCGACATTATCAGGATGCGTCTCAGCAAACGCCTCGAAATACTGGCCAAGAACAGTGAACTTATGGAGAGAGTTGAAAAGGTAACTAGCTGCGGCGAATTTAAATGTCATTTTATACTTAAATACCCATCCTTACCCTCCACAGGCTAATCAATGGTGTGCCAATGGCGTGGAGCTGTTGGCTTCACAGCAAATCGAGAAGTGTTCGGGGTCTGCAGACTTAGCCGAACAGAGTCTGCACGAAATACAGGCATTTATTGCATCTGCCTCCGATTTTAAATTATCTAGTCCAAGTGAATTCAAGAAAATCTTTTTGGAAAGCACAACACCGGAAACCAAAGCACTTGTATCTCAGGTAAGGTGACTATTATTCATGCAAATAATTCTCAGAAGAAAACTGGCCATTTATATTGATATGAAAAGTGCTTGAGCCGCCGGAAAATCCCTCTCAAGACTTTAAGACTTGGCCAAAATTAAATCGATTTTAAAGTTCAAATCACTTTTGTGTTTGTCATGTAGATAAATTCTATATAAGAAATATGTGTATGTATTGGCCACTTTTGTAAACAAGTTACAATCAGGTCACATTTCATACCAATAAAGTGTGATGCAATAGGGATGGCGACATTGCGCATTCTTCGTCGATTAAATAATATCATGTATTACAAAAGCAACGACTACTGAGCCATAGATAGGCATAGATAGACGTCTACTGTATTTACGCTTTGGAATTGTTTTGTTATGCTTTGCAATGTGATTGGGAGACTCAACTGAGTGAAAGACAGGTTCTTACTGTCTTTCAACTAATAGTACTCGTTGTTGCTTCTGCAGTTGATCTGCTGTGTATGAGTACAGTTAGATAACGCCGTTTGGAATGGGGAATGGGAATGGGAATGGGGCATTCTCTAACATAATGTGTATTTAATGTATTTGAAATGCTATCAATCAACCGGTTTGTGTCGCCGTCTTAACAATCAAAGTGATCATAAAGAGATATGTATTTTTGTGGGCGTAGCTACATATTTGATATTCTATTCATTAATTTAATTTTCCTCTAACTGAATACTTATGATGATTTTTTCCTTTTTCCGCAAAAGACTGTTAACGAGAAATCAAGTGGAAAGTTAGAACATGTTCGAATGTAGATAAGCCAGAAACAATATCTGTAAGGCAGGGTTAGAAGGTTGTTAGCCAATGAAGCCAACTCCCTTAGACCTCCTTAGACCTGGGTTATTTGTGCTAATAAATAAACTAAAGTAATTTGCGTTATCTATGTATAAGTGTACAGATAGTGTATCAGATCGTAGAGGCGCCCGTAAAAATTGTAATGTATTCATTTTCTGCATATTGTTGATAACTTGTTTCTTTAGATTGTAGAACAGTATATTTTTATGTTAGTTCGATGCTAGACCGTACATATTTCATCTGAGGAATGGGGTCTGCAATTCAAGCAATTAGTTTACGCTCAGCTGCTGTATTCAAACATGTTTGATAGGCCATGTATCTCAAACAGAGCACAGCTGCAACATCGAGCAAGTCAAGTTCGATGGTAATTTTTGTTGTAAATATGGAAGAATATTTGTTGCGCTGAAAATTTGCTTCGTTTAAATCATATTCTTTATGTGAGGAAGAGGATTAAACCAGTCTAATTGACAATATTTCACAACTACAAATATGTAATTTGGGACACGATAAAAAAAACTCAACCACAAATATTAATTGCTATCCACAGCCAAAATTGCATCAAGGTGACCTATTTTCATCATAACCTAACGTTAAGTTAGGTCAAATCCAGTTTTTTTTTAGTTAGTTATTTATGTATTTTGAAGCAATCTGTATAAATATGTCGCGGTCATGCACGAAATGGGTCAGCAAGACCCGTTTAGAGTCTGTTGCCGCTGGAATATTCTTGCAGCGTTTACATTTTTCTGGCGCATAGCATAATGATTCTGGCACAATTCAGAGCTGTGCGCTGGACCGCTTTCATTCCAGTCTCTCGGCACGTTTGACCAGTTAACGAACTGGATATCCTTGCGACTGCGATTGCGTTTACCAGCTATTAAAAAAGAGCGATCTCTTACCTTACTTCGTTCGCTAACTATTAGATCACTGCATGGTGCTGATAGCTCCAAATGAAGTTGCATCATGGCTAACAACATACTCGCATATGCGTTGCTTCTGCGTACAGTTTGAAATTTTCCCAAACAATATCAGCCAGTTCAATTGTAAGTTATTGCAAACTGTGGTTGACTATTTGCTTGTAAAAAGAAACAATTTAGTTTATGTGTAGATACATCATTTAACTAGAGTTCATTGACTGTCCGTTAATAGCGTGGGTGACGACAGCCGGCTCCTGCAAAGGTCAATGGTAGATATATAGATAACTGGTCTTATGCTCATTTGAGCATGCTTACCAAATATTACCAATTTGGCAACATTTCATATATGTTGTTAGTTATATTTGCTAGAGTTTATATTGCGTTTGTAGAAACTCGACAACTTTGAACGAGAAGAAATCGCTAAGCGATTTATGAAAGCTCAGGTCATATAAATAACATTTTAGTACATTACAAAATATTTGCTTGTAGTTTGGTTAGCGCATCAACAGCTGCAAATTTATTATTTGAACAAACAAACCGCAAACGATGTTCAATGTTCGGTGGACTTTCGCAGAAAACTCACATAACTGGTCCTGTCTGCTGAAGATCCACGCCGAAGATGCACTCTGAAGATGCATAAATGCATAGTTGACAATGAGCGACTCCGACTACGACCCCGACGGAAGCAAAAGTGAAAGTGGCAATTGTATTTATTGCTTTCGACCATTATGTAAAATGTCAAATGTCAAATGCCACAACATTGCCAAATGCCTGCCTGTGTTTGTCCTCTGGGCGCACTTTTAACTTATGCAATTGTTGTATGTTTATCGATTGCATAGGAAGCTGCTTACCTTTAGGTTTATTTCAACATATAATTTTAATAACTGCTGACAGCGAATTTTGTCTGTGAGACCAAGCCACATTTTCTATAAGTTTAGAGATGACTCCCAAATTTATTATTATACAGCATACTAAATATATATACTTTGCCATATGTATTTGAATTAATATGAAGTTTTATTATTATATACATTATCTTATACATATGTATATATATTATGTATATTGTTGTGATAATTTCTAGAAGAATATGCACAACACCGCATATTTTATTAACTAGTTGCCACATATTATTTATTATTGTGATTAAAGGCATTAATTACATTACCTCTCTCAACAGAAATGTAGGCGGTCCAATTTGACAATTGAGGCACGCCTGCTTGTTTTTGTGGCTTGTGGTTCAAGAGTTACTGCACTTTCGGTGTGGTTCAATTTCAATTGTGAATTCAACTGCTGCAGCTGCAGCAAAATGTCTCAAACTTGGCGAACTTCACTTTTCTTATGTGCCTGTTTTCTTTTTAGTTTTTTCTTGTTGTTGTCTTTACCACGGAGAAAACACGTGAGAATACCTCTAAATTCTCCTACATAGTAATTAAACACATTGTCATTTTACAACTAATGCTGAGGTTTTGCTTTTTATTTTATAAATGTGTGTTAGAGGGGGCCTAATTACAACTAACTACACACAATTTGGGCCAATTGCATTAAATACAGTTTGCAAAAATGTTGTCACCTTAGAAACGAATAATTTTTTCTTATTTTACTTCGTCTTACTGCCTAGTTTCACATCTTGACACTTTCTCCTTGCACATGTCACTCTAAGAACTTGACGCATTGTATTTTATGTTTCTAATGCGAACAATGAAGACTGAAGATTCATTGAGCAATCTGCGCTTTATGAACGAAACAGTTTTCATAGCACAAATGTGCATTTGTGTAAAGCAACAAAAGCCAGCTTAAGTTTGATAGTTTTTTTTGTCAATGAATAGTGTGATTCTTCGATTTCTGACCCGTATGTAGATCACTCAACTTTCGAAATGTAATTCTGTTTGAAAACTAAAAAAGCAAAACACACCTAGAATTTTCCATAACATCTTATGGAAAGTTAAGTTTTAAAAACGAATAGCAAATACTGGCATGTTATTTTATTTTAATTATTCGTCAATTGTTCATTACAGGTACTGCAGCGCATTGATGATGTATCTTTAATGTGTGACAAGCGCATTGCGAGTCTCAAGAAGTTGGCATTGAAACCACCGCGTCCCGTGCAGCAGGTTACCCCAGAGCCAGCGGTGCCACTACAACCGCCAGGCGGGGCACCTCACTTGTTGCGGCGTAAGCAAATTAAGGTAAGTGAGAATAAACAATCATTTTTGACTATCTCTCTAATAAACTCGACGGATTGACTGATTGAAGATAACAGAAAAATAAATGTTCCATCATCAAAACTGAACCGATTTTCAAAAGCAAAAAATCATCCCACAATATATTATAATATATTGTAATGAATTTATGCATTTTAACAATTCAAATTTATATTGTTTTTATATATATTATTTCTAACTGCGCGCAACTTGTGGTTGCACTTTTTATCCACTTCGGGCAAATAAAAAGTCTGAGAAGTTGCAATGCGATGGGGCAGGGGTTTATTAACCAGTGAACCACTGAGTATGCAATGCGTTTTTCATTTGCATTTTAAATGCGCGCGAAAAGCCAAAGATTCCTATTAAAACAATGACATGTCTTTTTTCTGTTTGTCTTACAATTTTCTTTTTGTTATGGGTGTATAAATAAGAAATGATCAAAGGGTGTAGTAAAACTGATCAATGTTTTGATATAAATACTTTTTTGCTTTAATTTTAATAAGTATAACAGTTGTGGGCATCTAAATTTTGTCAGTAGTAGTAAGAATCGATGCATAACTATTGTCCTTAATTAAGATGCAGGGTATCGGCTCGTCGAATACTCATCAAACCCTCGCACTCTTTAGTTTTGTTGGACAAATTTCAAGTTCATTGTGCAAAATTCACACGATGCTACTCTTTTTTTTTGTGTCTGTTTTTGATCTGTACAAATGATGGAGACATGCGGTTAAGGGCAATTGTTGCGCCCCACGCCATAAACCAGAGCCGAGGCAACCAACAAAAGTTCCCCAAAGACGACATACATAAACAACGCCGAGCTCTGTGATGATAAGACAAATGGCAGGCATCAAGTCTCAAGTTTCACTTTTGCTGCTGGCAGCTAGCTGCGTAAATCGTAGATTACCGACCCATAGCTTGGGGGCAAACTGCGCTAACTACTTACAACTGACTTGTATTCAAACTGCTCCATCAAAAGTCGTATTTTTGGCCAGCAAGCAGCCGCAGCAGCCTTCCAAAATTATTTCATAATTACCTTCTGTGCGCCATCTGTGGCAAAAAAAAAAGTTTTTCTATGCAGACAGCGCATAATTGAGTTGAACGCTCAATGGCATTTTTACCATTAGGTTCGCTTTAATGACTGACTGACTGCCTAACTGACTGACTGACTGACCAGAAGCATTTACATTTAAACCATTAACCGAGTGTTTCACCTCCTCCTTGTTTGTGACTCTAAAAAGAGGAGGAGTTTACTTATTAACCAAGTTTTTGTTAGCTCTAGTGTGAATTTAAATGCCAATCACATTAACTTTTTTGTAAAAACAAAAAATAATAAAATTGACAATAATTATGAGTTTATTTCATTTAAATTTGGTGTTAACCGATCATCGAACTATTTTCTTTTAAGATGCTCTCAGAATTGATGGAAGAACTTGAATCTGAAAATGTGACTTACGTTTCAGTTTATTGTTTTATTTGTAAACCTTTTTGAAGCACAAATTTTGTTTTTTTCTAACATATTCAAATTAAAACTTACACAAATTTGTAGTTGATTTTAAAACCCAGATTTTCTACTGTTTTACTGATTATATTTAGATTAAGTGCTTTCTTTATGTCTTGTTGAGTTGCAGACAGTTATGTTGCTGCTACATAGATATGTTTTTTCAAAGTGCTAATAATCTAATGAACTCAACGAATGCCTGTTGAGTCCAATTAGCCATGCTCATCGTCCAAAAAGAGAAAGATCCGAAAGAGGAAAGTGGGAAGTGGGCAGAGAGAGCAACGCTTCTGGCCATTCTACAATAATAACTGCGCTTGCAACGAGCTGCACAAAAGGTTAGAATTGCATATTAAACATTTCCGCTGGGCAGCAGCACAGCAGGAAAATACAGATTTGCAATTCCGCATTGAATAAAAAATCAAGCAATTTCCATAAGTGCATAATCTACGCCAAGTACGCCGTTCCAATTGCAGTTATCTGTTAAAGCCGTTTTCCCGTTTGCCACTGATTTCATCTAATCTCGGTTCTGTTTAGATTTTTAATGCCTGGGTTTGAATACCCATTAGGTGCCCTAGAGTGTTATCCAGATCTAGGATTCAATTGGAGGGGAGCGCTTGTCGAAAGTGATATAGCCTTTAAGCCAGTTTTGTAAATATCGCTTTAAATTTGGATTTTTTGCTTGTCCATTCACATTATTTCTGTATTGGAAACTTTAATGACTCAAGCTATATTTAGGCTACATTTTGCTCTACAACCAAAAACGAGAAACGCTTTTTTGTGTTCAAAATGGGAGTAGGTTGAATATGCAGATCGTTTCAACTTTTTGCTTTCTGTTAAAGTGTAGTTTTTTTTCTCCAGATTACGTTCTTCTGCAATTGCTCCCCGCATGATTGATGTCTGTCTGATGAGCTATTGTCTCCTAATCTTTTTACTGTCACTTCTTTGCTGCATGTTTTTAGCTTGCTTTGAAAATATGTTATAGTCATTTTTTGCATTTGCAACAGCGACCTGTTCTTTGCAGCCACAAAAGCTATTTGATGTTGGTATATCTCAGTGTGTATATATACGCTTGTCAGTTTTTGCATCTGCAGCGATTTCTCTTGCCACAGGTGGCAATTGAGCAACTGTGAGTCTGTCTCTAAGTCTGAGCGAAACAATCGAAAGTATTAACGTGCATTCAGTTTCTAATTGTTTTTATTTTTTGAGCCGCTTAAATTCAATGCAATCATGCAACAGTTACATACAGCAAAATTTACAGATGCATTAAAGCTGTCTCTATGGTGTTAAGTTTGTCCAAAAATGGGACATTGATGAGGCGTATAGAGGCTCCTCTCACTGAATTGATACTCAGTATTCAGTTGCAATATCTCTTTCTGTGCAATCGAGGCTTTTTCCATAATTAAATAATTAATCGTCATTTTATTAGGCCCGTGGTTAAGATATGCGCTCTTTCACTTTCATATCTGTTTATGTATACATACATACATATTTAAGTATGCGCGTTATTAAAAAATTATGAGACGATGCCAATTGAATGTCTCGACGTTGTCGCAAGTGTTGTGCAAAGTGAAATATTTTCATTGTTGGCTGAATATTCGGCATTGTCAAAGCAACGCACGTAAGGTTGGCCAAGTGCAGAAGCCAGCAGCAACTAAAACAACAACAGCAACAACAGAAACAACAGCGACATTTCGAACTTGCAGCACGCATCTGCGGGCTTTCAAATATGCCTTCAGAGCGAGAGGCTTTTCACTACACCCGAAAAAAAAATATATGACTTAAAAAATACTTTCAATATTTTCAGCAGCTCGATATTTTTTTATATTCTTTTTATATATAAAATACGCTTTCTATAAAGCATCACTATTTTTACATATTTTAAAATAGTGATATTGAGAATAAAATAATTATAATCATATAGGAAGCATTACAAACTGTAGCCGTCGAAAGAATCTGTTTAATTTTGGAAAGAAACTGATTTAAAATTTCTACCTTTTTAATTTATTTTAGGGTATTTTGTATATAAACTTTGCTTTCTATGAAGCATAATTATTGTTTCGAATATACGGAACATAAAAAATAGTAGTCGATGAAAGAATCTGTTTAATTTTAGAAAGAAACTTTTTCCATAAAATGTAAAAGTATTTTTAGAAAGTATACATAGTATGATATTTTTGAGTTGCCAATAAATGACAAGCAGTTTTACTTTCAACAAATGTATTTCGATTTACATATGATATTTTTCTTTCATATATAAACTGATTTATTTCGAAAGAGTCGGGAGAGAATCGAAAATTTGTATTTATCTTTCAATACGATTTTCTAAATAGATCATATATTTTTTTGCGAGTGTATTGCCTTTGTGTTAGTTAGTCTCACAATGTACCCGCTCAATAGTTATTGCACTTCACTTACAACTAATTATTGTTTTTTGTTTTTAATAAATCATTTGCATGCAAGGGCACTCTCTGTACTACGAGTACCTCAGGGCTATGAGGGCACTATCCTAACCCATTTGCCACACTTGCCTCATTTCTCGCCACTTAATTTATTTATTTTGAAGAGTTTATATACCTAGATAGATAATACAAGTAGTACCCCAAATAACTAGTCATGATAGTTGACAACTTACTGTAATAAAATATATATATTTTATTAAAGTTTAATTGAGGACAGAGACATACTCACAATTCGACAGTATTTCTCGCACTCGGTTTTTGTGTAGAATCGGTTCTGATTGCCTCCGCAGGTTGAATATATAAAAACATCACATCTCACATATTTTCGATTATAGTACCACATGCGAGTACGAGCACGACAATCCCCGTACAGTGGAGGTTGCTTGCAAATGGCTATAAAGTATGTGGATAACTTTACTTTTGTCCGGTAGTTTAAACTCGACATATTTACCAACCCAATTGTTGTATTATGTCATCTACGCTCCAAGCAGCGACTACCGTAAAAAGAATAAAAGGAACAAAAAAGCAGCCCAATTTTAACATTTCTGAATGTGGAAGCATTTCCAAGTAGTACTGAGAAAACTTCGAGAGAAACAGCGGCTTTTAAAGAATTACAAATTGATAGTTAGTCAACCAATCGTTACTTTAAAATGAATCTTAATAAAGTCTATCTAATCACAAAAAAACATTGCTGTATTTAAGTCACTCGGTGACTGTTGCTAATAATCGTTAAACATAGAAAATAAAGTGAGCATCTGTGATTTATTTACTGCTTACGTTTTTTTTTAATGGATTATTGAGATATTTGTGTTGTTTTTTTACACTTTCACTACAAACTGTGTTGCAAATCCAAGCTCAAGAGAGACATTTTCGACAAATTTCTAAAAATAACAAAGCCAACAAATAAACTGCTGCATATTGTGCATGTCAATCAAGATCAAGTCAACCAAATGCTAAAAGCTAAAATGCGTCAGCCAATTAACCACTCAATTTCAATGAATCGTGCACATGCCCCGCCCCGAGCTGCCGAGAATTTCCACGTTGCACGTCGTCAATTTGTGTGTGCTACAATGAAATGGAAATTACCATGGTCAAAACATGCAGGCTGGCATAGGGGTATTACCAAAAATTTCACAGCCATGGACAAGCTGCTGTCTATCTTACAAACAGGCAGGCTATCGTCTGGCAAGTTGAGGCTGCACAAAGATGCGATTAGTTCAATGCACCGAAAGCAAACAAATATTATTAAAATGCCGCCATAGTTTTGCCGGAAACTTAGTTATTTAAAAACCAGATTTTTCACTTAAATAGTGTTTGTGGAAAAATAAGTAATAAAGTTTTATATGAAAATCGTAAAAGAACTGCTAAGAAACATTAATAAAAGAAATTAATTGTCGTACATTATAACTTTTTAAACATTATAAAAGTGTTGGTTTTCCTATTTCCCCTAAATGGGTAATACTTTTTGCGAAATAAATAAAATAATTTAATTAAATCGATTAGTGGTAAGCGGTTGCTTTATTTATTTCTTGCATATACAAAATATTGTTTAATAACTAAAAATTGTTGTGCTTCTCGGGCATATTTTATCTGGGTGTATTTTTGCAAAGGCTATCTGATTTTGATGCCAATTAAATTTAGATCAAATTTATATCTGCATCTACTTTTGGAAAGCCAAAAGCTAATAAAAATATATACAAATATGCTAGTAGTTCATTGCACTGAAAACTTGCTCACTATCTTTCAGATACACTCTGGCAATAATCTGTATCTAGTCACTTTTTAGTTACGTTCACGTACTCTCACACATTTTTGTTGATGCCATTAACGGACAATGTAATAAAAAGAAAGATGTTGTACCTCTTTTTTTCTTTTGTTGAGAGCATAAATCACCGTCGAGCCGTCTGAGAACTTTCACAGCACTTCCGCAGGTCGCAAGCTCGGCTACTTGGCTACGTAGCCAAGTCGGCAAACCGTATCTGAAGATCGTTTTACTTTAGCCCTTAGTGAAACTACCATAAAATGAGTGCGACCAAAAAATTCCATTGCGACGTTTGACACTTGTCATAGATCAGCCTAAGTGCCTTAAGATTTGTAGATTTGCCAGCTACATAAAGTGAAATCTGTTGATTGCAACATATTGCGCAAAAGCGATCTGGCAATACTTAATGATTGTGACTACATTATTTAGAATCGCATAATGTGCTGTAGCTTTACTTAAAGACACATGAGTTTTGCCAGTCGAATTTAGCTGCTAGTAATTCGGCCACAAAAACTATTAAGGCTACTGTGACACCTAGAACCCAAACGAGCAATATGCCCACAAAATTGGACATGCCCAATGTGACGGGCTCAATATTGACATCGTCTTGAGCGGCTCCAGACATCGTGCTCTCCACGTGCTGTTGTATCTGAACATTGAGATTGTCAGCCACAACACGATACTCCCAATATTTGTCAAAGCCCGACGAGTGCCAGCGATAAATTAAATCATTGAAACGCTCCAGGAGTGGCCAACAACGTGGAACAAACGCAACTGTATACTGATAATAGAGATCCTCCTGCATTATAACCATCCGCTTAATGGCCTGTCCATTTACGTATTCCGCAATGGCAAAGTGGCCTACAAATGAGTTAATTTAACAGAGTATTAACTAAGTAGTTCCGATTTATAGCTAACCAAAGGGCAAACGCTCCACGGTGAATCCCATTCGCACCCGATTCGACAAGTCCAACAATTGTTCATCGCTGTAGGTGTGATAGTTATCCAGGAGTTCATTCACAAGAGGCTAAGATTAATCATGATATCATCTTAAAATAATTCTATATCAGCTTAAATACAAAATTCAAGATCTACTAAAGCGTTATACACATATTGAAGTACAGAAATGCTTAAAATTAGTATTATATACTTGATTTTCAAATAAAGAATCATTTGTACTTATTTGGAAATAATCAAGTTGTACCTGAATTGGGAACAATCATTTTCTCCAAATGTACTTACATCATCAGAGCCACGTAGTGACAATACCCATGCCTCAGAGTTCGCTGCCCACTGGAGTTGTTGGGTACGCATCCGTTCCATTGTGTCCGCCGCCTCGCTCAGGCTAGGAATGGTCAATATGCTGGCCAGACCGCCCCCATAGATGCTTGTAATGATAATATCGTTGAGGAAGCAAGCGAAGAGCAGCACCCTCATCGTTACAGATCGAGCATTACTGTTGCCTGCCTGCGATATGAATAGCTTAAAGGTGGTGACCAATCCAAATTTCGAACTGATCCACCAGCCACTCTTGGCTTTCTCTGTAACAAATAGCTTCCGTTCGCTCCTATGGGCCAGCACCAAGCCCAATGTTTCGATGCTAAGGCAAATGAGTACGGCGGCCCACAAGGTGAACTGAAAGGGTTGCAGCGGCAAGTACCAACTAGCCAGACGCAATGGTGCCGGCACTAGGCAAGTAACGCCCGAACGCACTAGATACATGGACAAATCCAAATAGGTGTAATCTTCGTACCAGGAATACATGGCACCAATGCAAATGTCTGCCTTATGATTTATAACCATGCCCATAGCTCCATCTCCAGACATGTTCGTATAGATGTTGCCCCAATCGTCGGCATCAGCTGAATACAAGATTTATGAGCATTATTTTGATTTGAATTGCTTTCATTTTGAGCTCTGCAGCAGTTAACTAGGTGCAAAGCTCTCATAACTAGATAGTGCTGTACTTACACGTATCAATCTGCACCGTACAATTGAATTGCTCACAAAAGTTGAGTACGACTCGTGTTTCGGTACCATCGATATACACATCAGCTAACTCCGAGTCCGGTGAAAGGGCGACATCACGTGCATTGCTTTCGGTGTGCCGCTGCAGGTAGGAAGGAGAATCCTTTAATAGTGGTGCAGTTGACATGGTGTTAAGTTACCACTAATCATTGCGAAAATAACAAGAAATCTAACTCAATACCAATATACATTTTGCATGCTCTCATTTAGAATTCTCAACTGGTTCTATTGCTCTATCTGTAGCTCGTTGATGAAGTAGCTCAATTGCAGAGTTCATTCAAGTCAATGCCAAAATCAATTTTCAGGCTTTCAGTTAGAATTTTCAACCGGTTCTTGCAAGCACAGTCAATCAGGTTTCCAATTATATTTCTCGCCTGAATTTAGAGAAATGATATACTTACATGCTTGATGATCGCGTAAGGCTTATAGTCGAAACCAGCTATTATAAGTTCCCTTCCCTGCAAATCCCTCAATTTATCGGGAAATAGTTTGTTTTTATGTTGAAAGCGCTTTCCCACAGCATCAAATCGATCCAGCAACTGCAACTGTTCTGGGTGCTCCGATCTTGGACCCACATACTTGTTGGTTTTCAGATCAAAGCTCGTTGCATTCGAATAGCTTCGCACCACAAAAAGTATATTGGGTTGCTCTGAAAATTACATTATTGAAGAGTTTCCCCAGTATCTTTCACTTGCCAAATTAATTACCCTGAAAAAAGTCATCTTGCCAGATTGTTTCGCCCAATTCATCCGCCACGTAGGCGAACACAAATTTACTGTACAACGAGCGCCAGATAGAGTACATCGATGCCTTTGGGAAGGCAGCCACGAAACGTGGTATATATTCACCAAAGACAAGAAAACTCTGTCAAATAAGGGAAAAAGTGAAAAGATTTGCGTTTGGAACGGTTAGCTTCATAATATATCCAACCTCGCAGTGAGATGTCTCAATGGATACGGTGAGCTTAAGCATCAAATCATCGTAGCTTAAGTCCAGCTCCTTCAACTGTTGTCCCCTGGCAGCAGCATCGACCACATTGTCTTTAAAACTCTCGGAGAGTGTGGCAATTTGGATATTCAGAAAACTTGAATAATCTTGAGCTGTGTTCTGTGGTTGGAATTCGTAGTCATCATGCCACAGGACACAAATTGTGTTGCCTTGTAAATATCCTTTAACTGAATAGAAGAAAGTATTAAAAGCAAAAAAAAATCAGCTCCGATTTTGTGAAACTCTCTCAAGCTAAATATACTTACTGATTATGTTCAAAATAAGCGACCAACTCTGGTCGACAAGCAACATTTTAACTTACTGACCAACTATCTATTTCCGTAGCTCTGATTGAACTGAATAAAATTTATTCGTTTGAAAACCTAATTGCCAATTGAGTTATTACAAAATTACATTCGTAAACTGTTTGTTCGGGCAGGCAAATTAAGCAATTTGAACAAAAAAAACGATTCTAAACTGTTGTTTGGCTACAGAAACATTAGGATTACCTAATTCGTAAATTACTCGTATTATAATAAAAGTAGAAAGATTTTCATTCTTAACAGTTGTTTTTTTATTCTAGTCCGAATAATTATAAAAAATGTAAAGGACGTCTGAAATTCGTTAAAATAATCTAAGTATACTTCTTGATTAGTTGGTTTTTATCTGTTTAATTAGGCTGTGTCTGCTTTCGTAATTTCTATCTCATTAAATTACTAAATGCAATCATAATTACACTGATAATAACAATAATTTTGGATGATAGCAAATCTCATTTGGCTGAAGCATTTGTTGTGCAGACAATGCGGAAATTAATAGAAACAAAACGCGGTACAGCAAAACGCAGACAAAGACATGAAAGTTGTTGAAAAACATAAAAGAAACTTTAATTGATTTCAAATGAGAAATTTAATGCGGTAATACTGAAGCACAATTATAAATACAAAAATACACAGCACATAAGTAAGCATGTAAGCCAGAAAGTACATTATCAAAGGGAAAATCAACTAAACAGTCCACTTTTGAATTTCGATCATTTCCGCATTGGGTGGGCAACAAGGGTCAACTCTCTTCCACTTTCTAAGATCTCAAATATATACGAATCAGACTGTGACTTTTGCAACAGTTCTTTGTTTCACTTGCCTCCAAACATTTAAAAACGATATATATCATATTACAAATATTTTAAACTACACTAAAAAATACAATAAAATTGTGCAAATTTTATTAAATATTCCGATTTTGAATTTTTATAGACCCATCCAACTATAATAAAAATCCCCTGATATTTGATATTCGCTAGTTACTTTATAAAATGGAATAATTGGTTCTTTTGAGGGATTTCTGATATTGTTTACTTTTTGTTTACTTTTTCTTCATTTATTTGTATAGTTTTTTTTTTGTGTGTAATCTTTTATTGTTGTCTTTTTTATGTTTGTTGCGCAAAGGAAACTATTGTGTGTGGATTGCTTTTCTATTATACTTAAAGCTGGTTTTTCTGCTGACCAACTTTGGTTTCATCAATTTTTTTTTTTATTTTTGCTTAGCAATAATATTTTGGTCAAAAGAGCTGGCACAGTTTCATTTGCCTCTTTTTCCAGTTTACCACTGGATCGAGGGCATTTTGAGGCTAAGAAATTGAGTTTGTTGAGAAACTAGCCAGAACATATAAACAAATTACGTATACTTTATCTTAATTCCCATGTAGTCCATATATGTAAAGTAAATATTTAAGTGTTTTGCTCATTGACCAAGTGATGATACACAACAATTATGGAAACAATTGCCGTCAACAACAATAAACAAAAGAACGATGGTCACAATACCAAAAAGAAACCCAATTTGGCAACACCAATGTCAACGGCAGTAGTTGAATGGCACTTATTTAACTAACTGTCGATCAAGGCAAATATTCACTGATTGTCATTTTTGAGTAGCCTTGCGAAGGTTTATTATAACGTATCTCATTGACAGAGGCATTTTCGATTTTATAATGAATATGTTCTTAATTTTATAATGCTACTTATTTCTCGCACCTGAATTCGAACTCTATTAAATATTTATATATGATACTCTTATAAGTATAGATAAATATAATCATGCGATTAAATAAACTCGCATAAGTATAGCAAATAAATGTGATATGTGGCTTGATGATATGAAGTGATATTAAAATCTTAAGTTGATATACTTTAGGCTTATAATTTGTTGTGAAAATCTGAAATCTGTACGTTAATATTGCATTTTACTAGATACATTGTAAAATAAGAAATTCTTAGCTTGATGTTAGGAAGAGTGTCAAAAAAACGTAAGCAGATCCCACAAAAAATTTAAATAAAGAGACGTTTTCCGTCATATAAAAACTGGGATTTGGTTAGAAAAGATTTCAATTCCAAATTCGTTTTTTAATCTTTTATCTTCTTCATAGTCATACACATACCTAGCTTAAGCCACAGCATTGACTGTTATGCAGTAAAATACATCTTTGTAAGCAACCAGTTCTCAGCTGGCTAAAAACTTGGTAAAACATTTATGTGTATATTCTGCGACTTATATATAAGTACATTAGTTCGTCAAGATACAGTTGTAGATTAAGAGCTTGCTCAGAGCTGCAACGCCGCATTAGTTTTTGTCCATGTGTTTCACTTTTAAACTGACGCTGGTTTTTCGTTTTGGGCTTTCCTTTTCACTGGGCATGCTAATTGTCAACTGGCTGAGAGGGCCAAATCGCATCTGTTTTGGCCTCATGATTGCCTGCTGCGTTGAAATCATAAATTTAATTTACGGTGCGAGAGCTGGGAGCTGCACAGCGTCACTCCTAATGGAATTAAATTTTCTTCACATACAATACTTATTTGTTATGAGATCATTTCTCTTGTTCGCTTGTGCTATGTTTTAATACCCTGTAACCAATTGGAAATGGATGAAAAACGTATGAAAAGCTAGTGCTAATTTTTATAAAATGTCGAAGAAAATGTTTTTGACTCAACAGAGTTGATACGATCTAAATTTCCCCCAACTTTTCGAACCCAAAAACTTCTCTGAGTATCGTTCAATTTTGAACTTATGCTAAGTGGATAAATGTTGTTAAGAAATACAGATTAAATCTACATTTTCGAAAAACTAATTAAAATAGAAATCCCTTTCTTTAATTACTGAGCGAATTATCTAAAGCTGAGTATCATTTGCTAAGTGTATAAATCTTGTTAAGATAATTTGGAAAGCTTATTAAATGTATCTGTCTAAACATATATATGAAATTTCTATATTATCTTAATTACAGGGTATCTCAAAGTGATTATCTCTTAACCAGAGCACTTTTACCTTGCTGGGTTTTGTTTTTTGTATTTTCTTTCTTTTTATTATTTTTGTTTAATTTTAATGAATGAAAAGTCGAAAAATTTCTTGCTGCACTGATTTACGGTCGCGTTTCACTTTCAATTGAACTTCCACCGGTTTTGGCCATACTTTGACGCTTTTGGGCCGGCTACCTAACTGCCTATTGGTAATACTTGGATTTCTACCGGCAGCTCCTACTCATGCGTAATCCTTTTGTGGGCGCTTAGCTTCCGTTTCACGTAATTTCACCAGCGATATTTTCCAATGCCGGTGACGCCCAATAAGTTAACACACAACAACAACAACTGCGAGTGTGTGTGTGTGTGTTGGCCAACTATTTATTGTATGCTCTGAGCCATAAACGGATAAGCACGAACATACAAATTAAGCTGTGCATTTGGTAGCAAGTTTTGCCATCATATTCGGCATATCATATCTATAACCACTTTGTATAACCATCTACTACATATTATGTACATAATACATATATATTTATATGTATCCTATCTATCTATCATGTTTAATGTGAACATAACATGAATATACAATAATATGACTTTCAATTGGTGCAAACAACATATAAAATGCATAAATAGTTATTTAATCGATAAAATTATGCTGTCGATAACATTATATAATTCCCTTTGAGATAAAGATCCAGGTAACTGGAAAAAATGTTAACAATAATGAGAGACAATAAAAAAATATCTGAAGTTCAGTTAAGGTAAAAAGGAATCTCTTTTTTCTATATGGGCATACGTATATATCTATATAGATTTCAGTTCCTTATAATTAATTAATAATTCAACCATTCAACTATATATATTCTTATATAATATTAAAATTGTATATGTTTGTATGCTTGCATGCAGACAGTTAGAGCTAGAATTATGCTTGTTATTCTTTAAGAAATCTGTGGCAAGCATGCGAATGAAAATCAGATAGAAATAATTTATATATATTTATTGCAATGACTCGTTTCTCAAGAAATCCGCTACTTGCTGCAGATGGTTTGGCAAGTTTGCCAAATAAGTATTTGCATTTAATATAATTATTTCTTGTTTTAAGTTGTGGTCATTGTCCGAGTTGTGTGTGCTTGTGGCTTGTGTGTGTGTGTTACAACCCAACTAAGCGGAATGGAAGCATCAAACGCCCAGGGACGCATGAATCTGTGTGCGACTACAACCGCACGCAACATGTTGCAAGCTAGCGATTCCAAACCAGGCTGGTTGTCTTTGATCGAGCGAAGTTCAAGCGACAGTTTAAGTCGAACTTTCGAAGACGCAACAACGTCGCGCATGATAAATGGTATCAGATCGGATCGAGTCGTGTCGAATTGAATTACAAAGTCGTGAAGCAGCCGTATTTGATTTGCATAATTGTGAAGAGATGCATAAAAAGCCGACGAAAGGCAAGCACCATATGATTGTGGTTGGCTTTTTTCTTTGCGCTGCCTATAGACGGTGATCAATGAAACCATGACAATAGGCTGACCTCGCATTTGGACCAACATAGCAATTTGCATCAGAATAGAGCAAAAGCCAGGTTCGCTACAGTGAATCGGGACTGTGAAGTGTGACTTGTGTGAAATGTGGAAATCAAATCTGTTGCAATTCTTAAATCTCTTGTTGTTTTGAGTGTAGCTTTTAGTTTTTGATAAAAGCCACACAAATATGAGTGCTTGCTAAATAATGAATAAAATATGCCAGTGAAATAAAAACCATAAATCAAGTAAAACAACTGTGAAAACTTTTCGAGAAAATGCCGATTGGCAAATTGCCGCCTTCTGTAAACCGTAAGTCGTCGTCTATTGAATCGCCCAGCATGGATAGCACCATCGATTCACGTATGTCGTCGAGTGAGCTGCTCCCCATGGAGCTGCTCAAGGTGAACTATGTGCACAAGTGCAAACAGGCAATGATGCACAAATCGAATGAACCTCCGCCGCCACCAGTCACAGCACATTTAAATAA